CAGTACAATTTTAGTATCGAGCATAGAAACGGAAAAGATCATGTCGTTCCGGACATGTTATCGAGATCAGTACCTGTAGTAGTTGACGAATTATTGACCGAAAATGCAAATAGAGATCCGTGGTTAGATCAGTTAAAACAAAATATCGTGAATAACGAATATAAATATCCCAATTATAGAGTTGAAAACGGTAAAGTATTCAAACGTGTAAAGGTGAATTATTCGGAATTGTCGGGTGATGAGGGTTGGAGAGAAGTAGTACATAAAAAGGATAGATCGGGTTTAATTCATAAGTTTCACGATTTGCCTGAAACGGGAGGTCACTTAGGGGTTTTTAAAACGATTTCTAAATTAAATCAATTTTTTTATTGGCCTAAATTAAAAAGCGATGTAATGAAATATATAAAGAACTGTAAAATTTGTCAGCAGATAAAGGTTGAACAAAAATCTCCTGCGGGTAGAATGAATAGCCATCTCGATGCGAATAAACCGTGGAAATATATAAGTATTGATCTTATTGGACCTTTACCTCGGAGTACAAAGGGATTTTCGTACATACTTGTAGTACTAGACGTTTTTAGTAAATTTCCGGTGTGTTTTCCCTTAAGGAAAGCCACTGCTTCGCATGTTGTAAGATGTTTAGAAGATGGTGTTTTCCTAACTTATGGAGTACCTCTAACAGTTTTATCGGATAACGGAGTCCAATTTCGTTCTAAAGAATACCAAAAATTATTGAAAAGTTATAATGTTAAAAGTAAATTTACTCCCTTTTATCATGCCCAAGCAAACCCCACAGAAAGAACTAATCGCACCATTAAAACGATGTTAACAGCGTACGTTAATGACAATCATAGAGGTTGGGATAAGTTTTTAAGTAGGGTGGTATGCGCGTTAAGAACTGCTAAGAATGAAACAACTAAATATACTCCGTACTTTGTTAATTACGGAAGAGAGATGATTCTAGACGGGGAATTACATAATAAGATCGGGGATAGGTTTAAAACTTCTATTGGGGAAAGAACGAAAGACTTTGGACGTTTATTTCGAGAATTGTATATGCGAATAGGATCCGCGGCGGAGAGAAGTCAAGCGCGTTATAACTTGAGTCATAGAGAGGTAAATTTTGAACCCGGTGAGAGAGTTTGGAAACGTAATTTTACTTTATCAGATGCGATTAGGGGAATAACGGCTAAAATGTCAAAGAAATATGTAGGGCCTTACCGTGTGCGAAAGAAAGTATCGCAGGAAAGTTATGAGTTGGAGGATGATGACGGTAATGTTTTAAATGGACACTGGCATGTTTCGCATTTGAAACCATTTAATAACGAATAATTGTTTACGTATAATCTGTATGTGTGCGATTTCTATTCTGTTGTTCTTGTGATTCTTTTCTTTCTCTTGGGGAACTTTTGTACAGATGAAAGAAATTTTGGGAAAATTTCTTTAGGCGGGAAAGAGGGGGATTGTTACGTGNCGCCAATCAATTTACATCAGAATGTAATAGAGTTTAATAGTCTATATCTAACATAAAAAAGAATGATTTCAATTAAAAAAAACGAAAAAATTTATGAAAGAAATGCTAACTAAACACCTTTCACATACCACAGAATTTAAATACTTAAAAATAACAATATTCTATTTAACAAAGCAGACAAAAATTGGTTGAGTTGATATTTAATTTAAAGATAAGATTATTTCAACCACAATAACATCTTTTAAATTTGGAACATCATAATCGCTTTCAACACTAGCACATCTTCAGATTAATTGTCTTGATAAGAAATTTTGTCCTCTTTATCACTCTCCTCGTCTTGGGTTGTTTTGAATTTTACAGATTTTATCTTTTCTTCTTTCGATTTCTTTTTATCATCTCGTCGTCTAGGTTCCTTGGTTTCCTTGCTTTCGGGAATAGGCGAATAATTTCAAGAGATACAAAAACTTGGTTGCCAGAAGTTAATGGCATGTCCAATTACAAGTTATTGCTGGAATCATTAGATTTTGATGTACTCGTAGATGCTTCATTCGATAGCAAGACAAAAGTGTTCTACCTTGAAAACAGACTTGTCAAATGGCACAATAATACCGGTGCACCTAAACCCTGCTTTGATGTTTGAAACTGTTGCAGCCCTATCCCAATACTATAGGCAAATAACAGGTAGGTCATATATCGATGCTGTTTGCCCAGGATGCATAAGCAACTAAGAAGTTATGCCTTGATTGAAGAAGGTTTTAAACGGACCAAACACCGTTCTGTCAAGGGGTTGAAATTTGTTAGAAGTACGAGGGGGTAGTGTTAATACTACAATTTCATTAGATCTGCAATATTCTATTGCGGGTACCCACAAATGTGAATTATGATTATTCATGATCAATAGAATTTTGCTGCCAGGCGAACATTTTGTATGTATTGTAACATGCTTTAACGTCTCCAAAAAATTGTCTGTAGTCATCCAACCACTTGGATATACTAATCCGAGGGCCACACAATCTGAAACATCATGCATCCATATTAGTGGTACTGCAGAGAGATATTGCCTGGTCAATTTGGTGTTCTCTTACTGAAAGTTTGGGATATCGTTTCAGAAACGCCCAGAACCAATCTCTCCCAGCTAACTTATTTTCCTTCTATGCATCGGGCATTTGGTGTTAATCCATAAAACATAGAGGAACATTACAATAAGTAAGTTTAACGTTTCAAAGCTTTTCGATTTCACTACTAGTAAATATCTGAAACTTCTTAAAATTTGGTGAAAACTCAACGTTATTCCTTTTCTTGTGCTACTTTGACATAATTGTAGAGGCTGGATTTTTTAATGCCATTTCTTTTAGCACTCTCTCGGTCAGGCATATTATTTTCTTCATCAATTTGATTCAATATTTTTGGATTATTTTGTAAATTTGTTAAATAAGTTGCCTATCGCCTCACTTATATTCGTCTCCATAGAAACCCCATGATGCAAACTTCTGTCTTCTACACAAACCTAACCTAAGCAAACAGCCTTTAAATTCCCAACAAAAATGGTAATTGTTAATTTATACTCAAAATGTTTAAAAATAACTTATAAAAACTATCTATTTTCAAAAGCAAATTTTTTTATTGTACTAACAACGTTATTAAATGTGATTATTCCATTTATATTTTCTTATAATAGTCGAGGTGAGTTCTTGAATGATTACTTTCGAAATTAATAGTTATAACTAAAACTTATTTTAGGTTTCTGGTTAAAACATGATACGATTTATGAACAACCGGATGTAAAATTTAAAGGTGAATATATTTTTTTAGCTCATACAAATGATATAGGTTTAAAATTTATTTGTAATAATTTCGCGTATTTTGATGATAATAATTTTGAGGATTCTTGTTCAGAAATAAAGGTAAAAACAACAATAAACAAAAAAATGGTTAAATTAATTATTTACTTTGTTTTAGGTGGTAGAAATAGATAACAATTTTGATGGGAAGGTTGACTTGTTTAATTTTGAATTACATTTAAACCTTCCACAAAGTATAAGTATAACAAGATTTGATTTAATACTTACTTTAGATTACAAATTAAAGGTAAATATAAGGGACCATCAAAATTTATGTACAAAAAAAAACATTTGTATCTACAGCTAATATTATTTGTTGTTCTCCTTTTAGGCGACTTGTGGTTTACATATGCAATCTTTAGTTCTTCTTCAAGAATTTTTACAAGATACCAGTCAAATTTATATTTCTTCCATTCTTGAATTATCACAGCTATACCCCATTTTTTGTCACCCTAGAATTATTAATACAGAATTTAATACTTCCATTATAAATGAAAACGATTTTGATAGTTATAAGTTTAATAATATAATTAAGAATTATTTTCAAAAAAATGGTGAGTTATTTTTATGTAGTTTCTAAAATAAATTTTTATGTATTTTTTTTTAGTTACAACACATTTAAAATCAACCTATAAATCGTATGGAGGTCAAAGCGAATTATTTTCGTTAAAATTAACGATTAAATATCCTGAACACATGTTTTATTACACCCCAGGATTTTGGCAAGTAATAAAATGGGCTTGGATTCAATACATATCAATTTATATTATTTTATGGTGGATTATTAAAAAGATTAGAAATTATGTTTTTGATAATCACATATTTGTTTTTTATGAACAAAATCCAATTAAATATAAAAAAGATTAATTAAAGGCTTTGTTCTTACTCCAATTGATATTTTGAGTGTCAAAAATGATAAGATATTATAACCTTCAAATTAAAGTGATTTCACAAAAACCAAATTTTATATTTTACATAAATTATATACCGGGTGTCCCAATAAGTGTACTGAGATCGACAATAGTAAGGGTTAGAGGTTTGGGAAAAGATCCTTATCAGCAAAACAAATAGAAATTATTTTGAGAAGTTCGTAATTCGACAGCTAGGGGGCGTAACTGCCATAAAACTATAACTTTTACAACATCATTTTTTAATAGCTTGGATAATACCGCATCGTTTTGCATTGCGACATGGCCAATGCGTTTTCAAATATTTATATTTTAATATCTCCTGGGCCATTTAACCGATTTGAATACTTTTGGTTTTGTTTGGAAGAGCAATTTATGTGCTTTTAAAAGATATTTTTATAAAACCGTTTGGTTTAAAACAAATAATATAAGCTAGAATAAAAAAGCTGCAATTTCCATAAAGAACTCTGTAGAGAACTCTAGAACAGTCTGTCAACTAAATGGTACCATTCTATTTAACTTTTTTCCAAAAACACAAATATGTAGTCTTTAGACTAATCTGGTTTCTCAAGAAAAGTAACCCAACCCAAACACCAGGGAAATAGAGAGGATACAAAATGCCATTAGAAACGTATCCAAGGCTGAAATTCACGCAGAGAGTTTTCTACCGAAACTAGACTAAATAAATGATTCGAGACATTTCAAATACTTCTGGCTAAAATTTGTGTAATTCTAAGTGTGTTGGTTTAGTTTGTTTAAAGCGTCTTAAGAGACGGACTGCTAAACCCGAATGTTTCAAGTTCTAGATGTAGTGATAGTTGCAGTGCTAATATTAGCTCTAGTTTTAGTTGTTACTCAGCGTTAGATTGTTAGAACTAGAAACATTTGTGCTTAACCAAACCTTCAGAACTGACTATTTCGTGTTGATTTATCAAAACCAACGCCTCACCTGCAAAAAAAATATTAATTTGATTGAGTTAAGGTTGAAAGAATTTATGTCTATTAAGTTTGACACGCGATTTCTAAAAAAAAGGATTAGTACAACACAATTGGCAAGTTATTTCAAAAGATGGCCTGTTTAGTCAAGTGGCATGGAATTTTTTTCTTATTTTTACCAGAACAGGTATGGGTTGGCCTCTTGCCCGGCACCCGCTTGACATTGACTTTCTGGACACCTCTATACCTTGATATACACTGACATTAAGTCTCCTATAAGAAAACATTTACCTTCACTTTGCCGAGGTCGCTTGCGGGCGAGGCGCTAGTTTTAATAAATCAATCTGAAATAGTCAGCTCTGAGTATTCTAGGGCCTCGCCCGCAAGCGATCTCACACGATTTGAGACGAAATCGTTCCTCATATATCTCGGCAAAGACACTAATTGTAAGTCTCCTATAAGAGAAAATGTATCCTCACTCCGCCGTGGTCGCTTGCGGGCGAGGCGCTAGTTTTGATTAATCAACACGAAATAGTCTAATGGTTGTAAATCTAAAATGACTTCACGGACATACTGCATATACAGGGTGATTTATTAGCTCACCATCAAACTTTGACATATGATAGCTAATCCAATTACCAAAAAAAAATGTTAATGAACATATGTCCTATTTCACTTATTTACGAAATTATAACAGTTTAAAGTTTTAATTTTTATATCATAATTAACTACTAAATTTTTTTTAAACACATAAATATTGTTCAAAATAGCCTCCTTTTGCTAGAATACATGCTTCGCAACGACAAATTAAAGAGTTATTCATCCGAATTAAAATGTCTGGTTGATTTCTTATTTCAGTAACAGCCATTTGTATTCTATTTAGTATTTAGAGGTTTGTTGCTATCGTCGCGCGGGTGCTGAGGACAAATTTTTTATAAATTGTGTTTTCGATTATTCTTTTGAGATGACTTCTTTTTACCTCCCAAATTTTAAAATTAGAATTTGTAGAGGGCTAAAGCAGCTCACAACAAATTATTAAGTTTTCGTAATTTATGTCGCACTGGCTAGACGTTGAACAAATCCTCTATCTAAAAGCCTCTACGACCGTATCACTTAAAAGCTGTTTGAAACTTGACATAGTGAATATATACAGGGTGATTTATTAGCTCACCATCAAACTTTGACATGCTAATCCAATTACCAATAAAAAATGTTAATGAACATATGTCCTATTTCACTTATTTACGAAATTATAACCCTTTAAAGTTTTAATTTTTATATCATAATTAACTACTAAATTTTTTTTAAACACATAAATATTGTTCAAAATAGCCTCCTTTTGCTAGAATACATGCTTCGCAACGACAAATTAAAGAGTTATTCATCCGAATTAAAATGTCTGGTTGATTTCTTATTTCAGTAACAGCGATTTGTATTCTATTTAGTATTTAGAGGTTTGTTGCTATCGTCGCGCGGGTGCTGAGGACAAATTTTTTATAAATTGTGTTTTCGATTATTCTTTTGAGATGACTTCTTTTTACCTCCCAAATTTTAAAATTAGAATTTGTAGAGGGCTAAAGCAGCTCACAACAAATTATTAAGTTTTCGTAATTTATGTCGCACTGGCTAGACGTTGAACAAATCCTCTATCTAAAAGCCTCTACGACCGTATCACTTAAAAGCTGTTTGAAACTTGACATAGTGAATATATACAGGGTGATTTATTAGCTCACCATCAAACTTTGACATGCTAATCCAATTACCAATAAAAAATGTTAATGAACATATGTCCTATTTCACTTATTTACGAAATTATAACCCTTTAAAGTTTTAATTTTTATATCATAATTAACTGCAACTTTTTTTTTAAACATAAATATCACAAATATTATTTAAAATAGCCTCCTTCTGCTAGAATACATGCTTCAAAACTACTAATTAAAGAGTTCTCCAGCCGAATTAAAATGTCTGGTTGACTTCAGTAGCAGCCTATATATTCTGTATAATATGTTTCTGTATATTGTATTCTGTTTAATAACTGTTGTCGTGTGTTAATTTCCACTTGATACACAATTTGTTTCATTTGACCCCATAAGTAGAAATCTAATGGATTAAGGTCGGGGGATCTAGGTAGCCAAACAAATCAACCATTATTACCAATCCACTTGTTTGGAAAATATTGGTTTAACCACTCGACAACCACTCTTCCGCGATGAGGTGAGGTACCATCGTGCTGGTACCACATATTTTGAATTACATTAAGAGGTATATCTTCAAGTAAATCAAAAAGTGTATTGTTCAAAAAAAATTGTAATTATTTTAATTACAGATTCATAAGTCATTATTTTGGAAATGTTGCTGCAATAACTATTCACAAAATGCTAACCGTTGCTGATTATCTCCTGGCGTAGAGCTNTGTATTGTTCAAAAAAAATTGTAATTATTTTAATTACAGATTCATAAGTCATTATTTTGGAAATGTTGCTGCAATAACTATTCACAAAATGCTAACCGTTGCTGATTATCTCCTGGCGTAGAGCTTGAACATTCTGTTTACGATACGGATGAAGGACTTCGCGGTTCAATACGCGCCATGCAAAATTTTGACTTACATGTATTTTGTGTGCTATTCTTCGAGTGCTGATGGAAGGATTATCAATAACAGCATTAATTACAGCTTCTTCGTCCGCTACATTAACTACATGCGGTCGAATAGGATAACCTGTTTCTCGAAGTCTTCTGAAAGAATCACTAAAAACTGTGGAAGTCTTTCTAGATATTCTCGTACTGATTGTCGAGCATTTCAATTGCAAAAACCCTACACGAAAATTATATCAGCATACTCTTCAGTGCTATTCAGTGCTATAAGCGTACATTTTGGGTTTCTTCTTGTATGTAATAATTAAACCTTACAGCAAACTAACATATTACAATGACAACTTTGTTTTTGTTGAATGTTTGATTTTACTGACTATTAATAAATTCGCTGCAAAAAAACTGTAAAGTGTTATAATTTCGTAAATAATTGAAATAGGACATATGTTCATTCACATTTTTTTGGTAATTGGATTAGCTATCATATGTCAAAGTTTGATGGTGAGCTAATAAATCACCCTGTATAGGGCCCGCCACGTCATACTGTATAAGCGCGTATACTGGAAGGTTAAGGTTGGCTAGCCGATTACGGGAAATTGGCAGCCCATTCGTACACCTCTAGAATTTTTTAGAACACGCGTCGCGGAAAATACACACTCCACATTGAACAGCAGAAAAACTTCTGACGACCTAGGAATCGCGAAAACAATTCTGCAAGAGAATATGCATCGCTACCACATTGTTTTAGATCAGGCTTTAACAAATACCAATTATGATTTTATATTTGGGTGTTAAATATGATTCAGGCAAATCCAATTTTTTTATTACAAATAGTATGGACACATGAAGCATCTTTCAGTAGTGTATGTGGTGTAAATTTGCATAACATTATTGATTCGAGCAAAACCTACATTGGACGTGACAGGTAGAGCATCAAAATCGTTGGAGTTTGATGCAGAATCGTGGAAGGTTTTTGAAAAACGTTTCCTTGGAAACAAGAAGGAACGTGTGGTCCCACCTTGATGGTTGACCGAAATATACATTAGCATTTAGATTAGCAATATCCGAAGCATCCAATAGGAACAAGAAGCTATTTTCATGGCCGACGCGTTCGTCGGATCTTACTTGTTTAGATTTGTATCTATGGGGTAGACTAAAAGACCTGTTTTTTTCAATAAAAACAAAATGACATTAGACATTAGAAACATGTCCAGGGATGAATCTAAGCGGCGCATTCTTCCTATGTACCGCGGTTTGCAGCCATTTTGGCTCGATGTCAAGCGGGATATTTAAAACTATGTCGTGTTGATAAAATTACGCGAAATTTCCTTTGTTTTTTTTTCTCGTTGTACTATGAAGAGTCGAAAGCCCTTCTTACTGCTGTTTTTGCAACTGCAAAGGCAACAAGACGGCATTATTTTTGTAAATAAGTGGTGACGTGCACTGACAAGCTGTCAAACCGCCATTTTGGCTCGAATATTTCGAATACATAGGCTTCATGAACCGTGGTACTTTGATAATTTTGACTTTAATTGAAACTAGAATTTGAGTAATACTAAGTGTTTTAGTTTATTTTTATTGTTATTTCATTGGCCTGTTGGGCTTTAAATATGCATCAAAAATGGTTTTGAACCAGTGCTAAGCTTGGATAAAGTATGAAAGAAAGCTCTATGTAATTACATTTTTGTGCTCTGTAATTTGTTTGCTAAGGTAACTTGATTTAAACAAACTGTTTTACATAAAATATCTTTTAAAAGAACATAAAACACTCCTTCAAACAAGACTAAAAATATTCAAATTAGATGAATGATCCAAGAGTTATTATAAATGTAAATATTTGAAAACACCCTCCCTCTCTTATTATGACAGATATGAAAAATGTCGCAAAGCTAAATGATGCTGTATTATGTAAGTTATTAAATGATATTGTCAAAGTTATAGTTTATCATCTAATTTTCTAAGATAGTAGGAATTTTATGTTTCTTTATGGCAGTTACGCCCACTAGCGATTGAATTACAAACTTTAAAATAATTTCCAACTATTTCTTTTGCCCACTTTGCTGATAAGGACTTTTTTCTCAAACCTCTAAGCCTTACCATTGCTGAGATACAACTGCTCCTTACCCTTATTTGGACACCCAGTATATAATAAAATTTGTATCTAAAAATTAAGAATCATTTTTTTGATATCAAAATATTAGCATTGACTTTACCCTCAAATAATAACCTCCAAAATACATTTACAATTTAATATTTAATACCTTTATTCAAATGAAAAAGCTGGTAAAGGCGGTTTTTTATTCACATTATCTTCCAACACAATTTTTGTTTGAAGTAAATCATTTACTTCAATAAACAAATATCGATAATCATATTTTCCTTTATCATTCTCCATCATTTCTAAATTAACTGTTCCTTTATGGAACGTTCCTTTTAAATAAAATTTCATCCTCATATACTTTTTTCCATCTTTAATATATTCTAAATGTGTAACATGTTGTCTTCTACCCCTTCTAGTTTCTTCCCCATAAGCAGTAATAGGCGAACCTAACTTATCTTCAACACGATTATCAGCCAAACACTTTTTAACAGCTTGCGTGTATATGTTATTTGGACTTTTGCTAGAGAATAGTTCTTGAAACACCGCATAAAATAAAGTACCGGTTACACCGACTCCTAATAATATAACACCTAGATAAGAGGCAGTTTTCGTCGTTTCTTTCACTTTTTCTCCTAACGGTTTTACATTTGTATCTAAAGCGGTTCTTGTTGAAGTTGTGACGGCTTTAGTAGTTTTTAGTCTTGTAATTAATGGATATAAAATCTGACGACGTTTTAATAATAATAATGGATTGATGACTTTTGAAAGCATTTTTTTGTAAATTTCTTTTATAAATTTTTTCGTATGATTAAAAACATAACCTAAAAATTTTACCTGTCACTTGACTAAACGAAACACAGTATATGAAATTAATTAGAAAAATTTAATTTTTTGTTTTACTTTGTGAAATATTATTAAATTATGTAGAAATAATTGGAATGTTTGTTATAAATTGATTAATTAGTGATAATTATGGTTTATTGATTCAACGGATTAAGTAAACTTTTTGTTGTATATTCTATGTTGTAACCTAAATTTTACTTGTCAGTGTTAAAGCATAGTATATAAAATTGATTAGGAAGTTTTTGATTTGGTTGTTAATAATAATTAATAAAAATTTCTTTTAAATTATTAACAATTTCATTGCAAATCTATTAATTATTAATCATTTTTGCTGCCACGTTAAAATTTTGCATTATTAATCAATAGTTTTGGACCGTTTGTGCAAGTCATATTTGGGACATTCTATTTTTAACGTATGCTATGCACTATCTTTTTCGTAGAACAAAGACGGATTGATGTGGTTTATTGAAATTAAAGTGAGATAGAAACATTTAAATACCACTTCCAATTGACATTTCTGTTGACATTTGGGTTGTGGAACGCATAGTGGGTGCATGTTTTAAAAATAGATCAGTAGAAGGAATCATGTTAAGCGTCCTCGACAAATTTTAGTAGTGAACCAAAATGGATTGGGTGATATCGGATGAACTGTCCCTTACCGTGGGACACGTCGTTGGTTGGGTATGTGCCGGTGCTATGATCGTTGGGGGTGTCATCCCTTATGTACCCCAATATCGTCAAATAAAACGAGAAAGAAACGCAGAAGGATTTTCTTTGCTCGTTTGCCTGACCCTTCTGGTAGCGAATACATTAAGAATTTTGTTTTGGTGAGTACAAAAATGGGCTTAAAAATGGTTGTTTCATGGTTTTTATACTCAGGTTTGGAAGACACTTTGAATATCCACTACTTATACAGAGCATCATTATGAACATCACAATGTTTGCTATGATACACTTGTGTGTTCACATCCGTAACATCAATCAATTATCCCAAGCACACCAAAGGCTCTTCACAGGTATTTTTTTAAGCTTTAATAAAATGGTTTTGTGCTATTTTTCTTTGATTAATAGTAATTGCTTTCTTCCTCTTATACATTTACATGTATAACATTTCTTTAGTATTTTTAGCAAGTTAGATTTATTTCTTTTTTTTACACGCTTTGTATCTTGTGTTTGATAAAAATAAAACTTTTGGGGTCATAATTTTATTTATTTTTTTATATATGTGTATTTCTCTTGGAGTTTATTTTTTATTAAACACATTTAACTTTAACTTTACTACATGTACATATTTGATTTTGGCAGCTACTCCAAAAGAGGTGGTCAGATTGCTTCAGTCCAAACCCAAAACACGCTCTACACACAGTATCTGTGGTAAATTAGCTTGCACGAGGCGCTTTTTAAATTTTTTTTGGGTCATTTTTATTTTGGGACATTTCCTTTGCTTTTGTAAACTATCTCTATTTCTTTCTACATCTTTGTTATTTCTAGTTTGGTTTAAACTTTAAATTGATAACCTTTGGTCTTGTTTATCATTGTTTTGCACTAAATTCAAACATTCCTTTTTTTTTAATAAAAATCTAATTAAAACCAGCTTTAAATGTTTTAAACATTTTAAATCACTTTCATATTATTTAAGATTTTATAGAAATTAAATTGATTTAGAAACTTTGTTTTTGTTAGATTTAAAAATGCGAGATTTTTGGAATTGGTCAGATTTTCAATCATATCTCGATTGTATGATGGTGTTCTCAATTGTAGCATCAGTTCTCATGTACATTTTCATGGGCTATATGATATTTGTGGAAACAGTTGGGTTCATAGCTGTATTTACTGAAGCAATGCTTGGCCTTCCACAGTTGATAAAAAATTTTAAGAATAAATCCACTGAAGGAATGAGGTGAGTCATAGTCGATTTACAATATCTTTATTAAGCTACTATTTAATGTGGGTGAGCGCTATCTTATCGGTGAGATTACAAGTTTATTTGGGTTTAATTGTTTGGTGTTATGGTATATATGGGTGATATGTAAAAATTGTTTTATTAGGAAATTGTATTACAAAATAATTAATCCTTTTAGGATGACTATCATTTTTTAAAAATAGGATGAATCAATAACGTGATGAATTGCTTTTAGCTACTGTAATGGGTTTGGTCTTAAAATCGCTTTAGGTGGGAGAAATCAATTCCAAATGTTACGAAGGTTAATCTATTTTTATCATGTACAATATCAACATGGAAATGATTTTTCTTTTGTCCTTGTAGTGTTATATATGGTTTTATGTTTTATATCATATAACAAATATCAATATACAAATTCTACTTCAAGATAATAATTGTATGTACTGTTATAAAAAGAATCAGAAAAAAACTAAATGTACAGAAGAAAATTAAATTCTGTATTCAGTGCCAAAGCAAATCAATGAACCACATCAACAAATTTTTACCCTTAGTTTATCCACCAATTTTATAAGGCGATATCTTCGTTGTCTTTAGAGATAGTGGAATATTGAATACATCACTAGAAACCCTGATCTTATCCTGTCCTGTCAATATAATTATATCAACAGTGGAAAAAATAAAGGACGTCGCTGTGTACCAAATAACCACAAAATTATCAAACTTCAACCGCGTGTGTAGCCGTTATGAAACCGAATTAACAAAAACCTTTATCAACTTGAAAAGAACATCCTTTGAGCTATCTAAATCCGGGTTTTGTCTGGTCAATATCTATCGGCGTCGGCCAAAAAAACACGCCTAATAAACAACCCTACACATAGAATCGGTAGATTGACCTTTTTCAATACAACTCTTTTATTTGGTAGGAACAAAAAACTGAAGCAGTTTTAATCAGATTTTAAAATCACTTCTTTTTGTAAAAACAAAAAACGCGCTTTTGGAGCGGGTTAAATTAATTTTTTATATGATAAGGATAAAACTCTTGGACCATATACATTTTACGGCATAAAAAACGCATCACCTAAAATGATGACCAGTTTCAAACTGCAATAACTTTTGAATGTATTGCTCGCTTTCCCCTATGCCAATATTTCTTTACGTGCCTTCCTCATTTTGGTATATCTTCAATTTCAGCTAATGCGTGTTTTCCTCCTATACTTTGAAGCTGGCTGTGTGGTGCACCGACAAAAGATATTAATTTTAAACATAAGGAGCTTGTAGTCTTGTTTGTTCTGATCACTTCTGTTTATTGTTCAAGTTGCTATTGTTGTTAACACCACAACAAAAGCTCTAAAAGATAACGGAACTTGTTCGGCAGCGACATCTGAAATTAAAGCAAGTTATAGATGTGGATGAAATGTACTGGAGTGTATTAAACTGTGACAAGTAAATCAATCAAAATGTTAATAACGGGTATTTCCTCCCCTCATCCTTCGAATCAGGTTCTTCATTTTAAGAATCTGGTTCCACTCTCCTTTTAGCGCTATTCTCGTCTCCTTATCATATCCCACATGTGTGGCCACTCCATTTTGCTGATATCCAAATCATCCAGGTATTGGGACACTATGCGGGCTGTGTGGGATCGTGCATGAACAAGAAGTTGTCACCAATAAATGGGCCGAAGGAAACCACGTGTTCAGCCAAAATTACTTCAATATTCCGAGCCGCGTTTAGATTGCCTTTTATAAAATAAAGCTTCGTACATGCTTCGAAGCAGATTCATCCTCAAATCATTACAGATCTTCTCCAAACTCTCTCTCGACCATCTCGTGAGTACAAGCCGAACTTCGCTTCGTCTGAGAACAGTACGTTTCACCACTCTGTATTGGTCCACTGAACATGATCTCGTACAAATTGTAATCGAGCAACACGATGTTCTCGAAGCAACTGTGGACCAGTTGCTGATCTCTGTGATCTCAACCCCACTTCTTCAAATCTCCTTACTGTGTGTTCATTCACGTTCACCCGACGCACTTGCTCCAGACGAGTTCTTATCTCAACTGCTGTGGTTTATCGATTTCGTAACACAGTCGTTACAATATATCAATAAAGGTATATTTATTATATAGCAACAATCAACGACGTTAACGGCACTAAAATCACTGAAATGTTTTCGTCAATTTCCATAACTAGCTTTAATTTCTTATGGCGCTGCCGAAGAAGCTGCTTTATCCTTTAGAGCTTGTAACTTTGGTGTTAACAAGAATAGACACTTGAACAAAAAACAGAAGTGACAGAAGAACAAACAAGACTATAAGCTCCTTATGTTTAAAATTAATATCTTTTGTCGGTGCACCCCACAGCAAGCTTCAAAGTGTGGGAAGAAAACACGCATTAGCGTTATTCACCACTGCTGAAATATTGGCAAAGGGTAGACTTTTCAAATAAATAAAACCTTTTTCACATCGAGCAATACGTTCAAAAATTATTGCACTTTGAAACTTGTCATCATTTTAGGTGATGCGTTTTTTATGCCGCTTAGAATGTGTACGAAATTTTCCACTGTTTCCGATTTTAACTGTCACAGTAGATATCTCAATTACTGTTGGAGATTTGATAAAATGTTATAGAAGGAGCGTTGCTCCACACTTATCATTCTATTAATTTAATTAAATTTGAATCAATTTCATTATGTATTATAAAACTATAAAGAAATTGTATTTACAATGATATATCACTTGCCATAGTTATGTAATCAATTATAAATACAAATNTTTTTCAATACAACTCTTTTATTTGGTAGGAACAAAAAACTGAAGCAGTTTTAATCAGATTTTAAAATCACTTCTTTTTGTAAAAACAAAAAACGCGCTTTTGGAGCGGGTTAAATTAATTTTTTATATGATAAGGATAAAACTCTTGGACCATATACACCCAGTGGCATAAAGAACGCATCACCTAAAATGATGACCAGTTTCAAACTGCAATAACTTTTGAACGTATTGCTTGATTTGCCCTATGCCAATATTTCTGTACGTGCCTTCCTCATTGTGGTATATCTTCAATTTCAGTTAATGCGTGTTTTCCTTCTACACTTTGAAGCTTGCTGTGTGGTGCACCGACAAAAGATATTAATTTTAAACATAAGGAGCTTGTAGTCTTGTTTGTTCTGATCACTTCTGTTTATTGTTCAAGTTTCTATTTTTGCTGATATCCAAATCATCCAGGTATTGGGACACTATCGTGCATTATCGTGCATGAACAAGAAGTTGTCACCAATAAATGGGCCGAAGGAAACCACATGTTCAGCCAAAATTTCTTCAATATTCCGAGCCGCGTTTAGATTGCCTTTAATAAAACAAAGCTTCGTACATGCTTCGAAGCAGATTCATCCTCAAATCATTACAGACCCTCTCTGGTATTGTATTCTTTCAGAGAAGTTGCACTGAGCATTACGCTCTTCTGTTCTTCTCCAAACTCTCTCTCGACCATCTCGAGAGTACAAGCCGAACTTCGCTTAGTCTGAGAACAGTACGTTTTACCACTCTGCATTGGTCCACTGAACATGATCTCGTGCAAATTGTAATCGTGCAACACGATGTTCTCGAAGCAACTGTGGACCAGTTGCTGGTCTCTGTGATCTCAACCCCACTTCTTCAAATCTCCTTCTTACTGTGTGTTCATTCATGTTCACCCGACGCACTTGCTCCAGACAAGTTCTTATCTCAACTGCTGTGGTTTGTCGATTTCGTAACACAGTCGTTACAATGTATCACTAAAGGTATTTTTATTATATAGCAACAGTCAACGACGTTAAGGGCACTAAAATCACTGAAATGTTTTCGTCAATTTCCATAACTAGCTTTAATTTCTTATGACGCTGCCGAAGAAGCTGCTTTATCCTTTAGAGCTTGTAACTTTGGTGTTAACAACAATAGACACTTGAACAAAAAACAGAAGTGACAGAAGAACAAACAAGACTATAAGCTCCTTATGTTTAAAATTAATATCTTTTGTCGCTGCACCCCACAGCAAGTTTCAAAGTGTGGGAAGAAAACACGCATTAGCGTTATTCACCATTGCTGAAATATTAGCAAAGGGTAGACTTTTCAAATAAATAAAACCTTATTCAAATCGAGCAATACGTTCAAAAATTATTGCACTTTGAAACTTGTCATCATTTTAGGTGATGTGTTTTTTATGTCGCTTAGAATGTGTACGAAACTTTCCACTGTTTCCGATTTTAACTGTCACAGTAGATATCTCAATTACTGTGGGAGATTCGATAAAATGTTATAGAAGGAATGTTGCTCCACACTTAACATTCTATTAATTTAATGAAATTTTAATCAATTTCATTATGTATTATAAAACTATAAAGAAATTGTATTTACAATGATATATCACTTGCCATAGTTATGTAATCAATTATAAATACAAATTGATAGTTTGTATAGCAAATAAATATACTTAAATCATAGCTTTGCATGCCAGGTTTAAAATTAAAAATAAAAACGTTTTTTTTTTCGTTTAAAGTGTATTTTAGACTGTGTAGAATTAGAACCCATTGACAGAAAGAATTGCGGAACGTTTTTCTATCTCAAAACTTCATTTTTGGCAATCCATCTACTATAGTTGAAAATTCCAAGCTATCTGTAACCTCTTTGTGTTTCCTTTTCACTCGATTATATACAGTATGCGTCATAAGTAACCCCCTCCTGTCTAATTTGAAATCGTTTTTGAAACCGTCTACACCGGAATTTTCAAAACCTTTTGTTGAACATAACACTAAACACAGAATCGTTACCAACTCACCGTTTTGTCATTGATTTGGTGGCATTAGCAATCTGCCGACCCTTTTCTTCTTCTACAGCGTCGCCTCTTCACATGGTTCGTGAGAAAGATTCCTAAAACGGCTATCACTCATATCTTCATTTACAACAATTGTTTGAGAGGTTAAGTTCTTGCAATATTAATATTCAACCAACAAAATGTCTTTTTTGAGTTAAAACTTTAAATTTCCTAAGGCGTATTTCTACAGAAGGCATTTGCCCTTCAACTGAATTTCCAAAACCAACCACGCCTTCTTAGGAATGATAAGTTTTTATCACAGATTTTTGCCAAACATTTTAGCTCCTTCCCATCATTTATCAAAAACACTTTATTCACAAAAACTTAAATCATTCACTTTCTGGACACATCATCACGACATTTCTTTCATTACAGCCAAAGAACTTTTATCAAAATCCGTCACTCTTGCACACCCATCACCACAAGCTACTCTTTCACTGACGACAGACGCCTCAAGTAAAGGCATGGGAGCAGTTTTATCACAAACTATAGACAATAAAACACAATTTTTAGTATTTTTTTTCTCAAACATTTTCTTCAAGCTAAATAAATTATTCAACTTTTGATAGAGAATTGTTAGCAATTTTGCACTAGTAACAAATTCTTTAAACATTTTTTGCATGGACATCACTAATCATCATAATTTTTTTTACCACAGAAAAAATTCCACATCGGACACGATATCTTAGTTACATAACATAATACACATCAGATATCAGGTACATTAAAGATGAATCAAACATTGTAGCGGACACGTTCTGCAGAACAAATATTGATTCTGTAAATTCACAGTACCCTGACACATAAACTTAAAAAAACGCACAAACTGCTACTATCCGTGCAAAAAGTCAAGGCCTCACTTTAGAGATCGATATCTTCGCAACCGCTGGATAAAAAAAATTGCGACAAAGTTTGTTGTAATCACTGAACATTTATATGTAACATATGTTAATTTGAAAATTTTCGGATCAACGGTTCTCTTTTTATCACGAGTTAAATGGAAAAAGTACACAATTTTTTACGGTACCGGCAACTTTGTCAACTTTGCGATTCTTTTTTTCGAAAACTATCGTACGAAAAGCTTAAATTTTGAATAGGTGGTAGCCTGATGTGTTCTAAATGAGTGGCATATTTTATATATTCGATATTCCATACAGTTTCACGGAAAATAGTGGTTTAGTAAGACGCCGTTATGTCGAAAACGGCTGGGTAGATTTTCTCGCGGATTTGACCAAAATATGTCAAATAATGTCGGATTCCGTTATCAGTTTTTCAAAATTAGAGCTCCCTAATTTTTGAAGAGCGATTTAATGAAATTGCAAATTAAAGAGAAACTGAAATAAGCTCTGTGGGGTGACGGGGATTCCGTTCAATTGGAACAGATGGTGCATCTCAGACAGAACGTCGCGCCTTATTTCTTTATGTAAATAAAATAAAGACGCGACGTACTGTCTGTTCCGATTGGACGGAACCTTCCTCTCCCCGCATGGCTTATTCTGTTTCTCTTTAATTTGTAACAAAGTGAAAAAATGTAATGGCTATGGTTGCAAATGCTTCTACTCCTTTCAGGTAAATACTCTTTTGATCCAACCCTCTAATCCTCTAATTCAACGATTTAGAAGAAATTTTCCTCACATCTTCACTATAGCAGATGTGTATAAACCGATTATATTATTGATAATTTTGATAAATTTAAAATATGACTAAATTATTTTCTATTGGTTCTAATCAAAAAAAATTTCATTCTTTCCCTTAAACTATTCTCCATTGAAACTAAATCCACCAAACTCTTAAAAATATTCCAAAATTTTACCACCACATTTCTCCTCAAGTAAAATTTGTATATTGATATGTGTTGTATGATATAAAATATAATAATCAGATATCCTGGATACACAAAAAAGGTAATTTTTCTTTTAAAATTTCTTTCTCGTATTAGTATTACAATGGTTTTCTTTTGGACCTGCGGAGATATCTTCAAAACGGTCTACTTCAAAGTACGCGAAGCTCCAATACAATTTTGGATTTGTGGAAGTATTCAAGTAGCGATCGATATTTTTATTCTTTTGCAAGTTTACTGTTATCGAAGTAACACCGAGCCTGTTAAACGGGGTCCTCATCGAGGAGATTGAGTAGTTATTATTTGGACGCATGATTGTAGCGTGAAAGAGGGCAAAGTCGATGAAGAACAAAACGACTCCAAACAAATAGAACATCAGCAATCGGAAAAAGAACAACAACAATGTAATGGTAACGATAAACAACCGATTATCGTTCCCGTTAACGGCGAATCCTGCAAATTCGCCGTTCGTAGTAATAGTTATGATGTAAAAAATACGACACCTTCGTCATCGTCTTCGAGTAATAGTGTGGTTTCGGAAATTTCCGTTAAAAATGGAAATAATAATTCGATTAATAAAGAAGTGATTAACGCTGACGTTCACGTTGGCGATTATATATGTCTTCGAGATGGTTTGCAGGATTCTTTAGAAGATGTGATTGTAGGCGGTAACGCAAATGGTAATTGTGATCGTACGATTGAGTCTGTTGAGCTCGACGTACCAAGATTCAGTAAGTTTAAGCGGAGTTCTAATAAAATTAATGTACTGATCCATAGGCACACATTATGACAAATCGCTTTTTCGGCTCGGATTTTTAAAATTATTTTGCGCGCGAGCTGCACAAAATATGTATTAGTACAATTCCGTAATGATTTTATTTTCATTTCTTATACATAATATTGAAAAAAAATTATAACTAGCAATAATAGAAAGTTCCTTTTACATTCCTAAAATTATCGCATATCATTAGAGCTCAACATTCCAAAACATGCATTGAATTTGTATTAAATCTACAATAAGGGTGTTTTGTAAAAACACCTTGTATTAATTATTTGAAATTTTTGTTTTAAATTAAATTCAATATTTTGTATAAGAAGAAATGAAAAGTAATTAAAAGTTTTTTCTGATTAAACAATGATCCTAAGTAATAATCTTCCAAATAATATTTGTACATATCTATATGTATTTTAGACCGCATTTAATTTCATGGTACATTAGATTAGTAAATAAAACGTAAATCATTAAATTTATTAGGTAAGTGTTAAAAAATGTGGTATGTGGCCATGTGCCTTACCAAAAATTTTGTGAAATATAAAAAAATCGTAAATAATTATTAATGTAATTAACTGTTTAGAAAAGAAATGAAATTGCAACAGAAAAAGTAATATATAAATTAATTATTGAATTAAAATTTTCCCTTCTTAAAATATTTTATAACAATTTATTTTTGTTTATTAATTTTAAGAAAGTAAGTTTAATTTTATCGTTTTCTGTGATGTAGCGGGACGCAGTATCGAGAATTTAACAATCTGTACCTAACGAACGTGACGATACAAATTTGAACTAGTCTTGATATCAATATTTTTATAAGTGATACGTAATATTATTAATTATATTCACTATTATCTCGCCTCAGTTAATCGTCAACAACTTTATAATTTTATAGTCAATTTATAATTTTTAAGGGTAATTTTTAAGTCTAATTGTGCACAAAGTTAACAAAAATGAGCTTTTGTCGGTATAAGCTTAATTATCTAAATTGCTTTTTAATGGTATAATCCCAGAAAATGTAACCTGTTCCACAAAATGAGTAAGAAATAAATAAAAATAAGATTACAAGATTTAATTGTAAAAACAAAGAGAAATTATGAAAATAAAACAGGATTTTTGAGCTTTTACCAACTTTAACTAATTTATAATCTTCCAAATAATTAAAACATTACCAGCATTTTAATTGAAAACGTAACAATTGTACCTAATTTTCGAATCTTTTGTAGTATATTATAAAAAAAATAAATAAAATTTTAAAATTTCTAAATATCTCTTTTCAACATGTTACCTTCCGACATTCTTCTCTCATTCTGATCATAAAAACTGTAATGAATGAGAAATATCTTAGACAATAATTGTTGATGTATAATTTATACCATGTTCTTCATGAACATTTAAGTGTCAAAAATGGATTCCTTTCTAAGATATTCCTTTGCACGAATCATTATATCTTGAATTTCTACTCAACTTATATTTTGTAGTATTTTTTTTCAGTGGGTAACTTGGAAATGGATTGAGAGAGCTGGTTAAATTAGACTAAATATTTAATATATATAAAAGCTGAAAACGATGATTGGAGGCAATTGTAAGTAATAAGTTATTTACAAAAAAAGCACAGATATCTTTCTCTTCTAAAACTACGTCTGTTCCTTGCCGTATTCTTCACTTCCTCCTCTCTTGCACACTATCTCCTCCACTCCATCCTCCCATTTTATTCTTAGCCTGCCTCTCCTGCATTTTCCAACTATTCCCATTTTCATTACTCCACTCTGGGAAATCTCTTTTCTGGCATTCTGACTAGGTCCATACCAACTCAGCTATTTGTTTTCTATTTCAGTTGCCAGCAGTATTTGTTCCAAATCGTCTCTTATAGTTTTATTTCTAATTCGAACTATTCTTGTCTTCCCCGCAATCTTTCTCAAACATTTCATTTCAGCTGCTGTTATTTTTGATTTGTGTTTATCTCTCATCACTCATCACCCATGTTTCAGCTCCATAACTGAGGGTCGGTGTATAGATAGTTTTATAAATCCTTAATTTTGCATTTGTTCTTACTTCCTTCTTGCCCAGAATTGTGTTATGCATTTGGTAATATACTTTGAGATCTAACAAGATCATATATTTCTTGTCCGGTGAAAAGGAGATTAGAAATCTGTTGGCAAATTCTTAGCCTTAGATCATATAGGCTCATTCTGGATATTACTTCGAATTTATCATCTTTAATTAGGTTCATCATCTGTGTATGAACCCCTCATCCATTTCCAGCTAGAAACTGGAAATGGATGAGGGGTTCTCAGTCCCGTAGAATAGTTCATTTTCGAGTTGTCTTCCATTTTTGGCAGTTAAACAAATTTCTAAGATTATAGAAAGTACGCACTTTCGGTTATATATATCATATTAATTTGTGAGCCCAAACCTTGGTTCCATAAAACATTAATATTTTTTTATTGAAGCGTTTCTACAATCTGCCCAACAGGCAATAAGTGTTTGTGTTGACAATGGAACCTTAAAAGTCACATAGAGTCTCACACCAGTGAGTAACAAGTAAGTATAAATTTAGTGTCTGTATTTATCTTTCCATTAGAACTAGATCAGACGGCAATAAACGTTGCAGTATTTTGATGGAAACATTAGAGCGAACAAACAATCGGTCGCTGTACCGTAAGCTGAACTAGTAGATCACTTCTTTTATGGTCTCTAGTGAGATGTCACGTTGAATGGTCTCAGTGAAAACGTAGAAAGGCGCATCGACGATGGCTCGCAGAAGTTTGTTTTGAAAACGCTGGATTAGTGCTATGTTGAAAGCACAGGCGGTAGTACCTCCTATAGTTGAATAGCGTACGTCCACAATATTTTGTTATTTTAAGGTTTTAGTTTTATACCTAGTTGCTTGCGTTTAGAGAAAATATCTTTTTTCCACAAAAGGCGTCTTTCGAGGTGCATATCTAGTATCTCGTATTTGGCATCTTCTACTTGTGGTAGTGGACTTTTGTTAAGAGTCACAGAAGTGTAGATTTTTCTACGCGTAGTAAAGGTGACATGTTTGGATTTAAGTTTACTGACTCTGATTCGTCACTTTTTCATTCACTCCTGAATTATGTTAAAATTTTCTTGCAAATTACTAGAGGCAGATATTGCGTCAGTGTAAGTATGTATAGTCAGTCTACCGACAAGAGACTACGACAACACACTGAAGATGCCAGGTGAGATCTTGGCGAAACGTCTGCCCCTTTCCAAAGGAAACCAATAAGAGGAACGGATGATATCTCCGACCGACCACAGCAACACACTTCTCCATCCGTGAAGCACTAGAAGTATATATATATATATATATATATATAAGTATTTATCACCATCATATGTTGCAAAAGTAGTACTTTTTGTTGTTGGCAGATATGACTTAGGTATACAGTAGATACATTAATGGATCACGCTACCTTGAAACACTTGGTAGCACGTGGTGTATATAGATTGGAATATTCACTACCTTGTTTCATAACAATGTGCTTGCTTGTCAGATATGGTTTCAGCAGTACAACAGGTAGAGTGGAAGGGGAAGCTGCCTTTTTAGTTTGACTTGTAAGTCTCTATGTCACACTTTATCAAAGACTTGAGATGTATCGAGGAAAGCTGAAGCCCAATATCTTTTACTACTTACATTATTATTAATTTGGTTGATTAGTCTGTGAACTTGCTCTATTTTTCAATCTTTGTTGCGAAAGCCAAATAGATGATCCAAAATTATTTCCTTATCTTTTATTACTATATTGAGTTTCATGGCATACAGTTGTTCGAAAACCTTGGAAAGCATATGTAGCAAGCTTATGAGTCTATACGAGGTGATCTCTTCTAGCTTTTTTCTTGGTTTATGAATCATAGTGATTTGAGCAACTTTCCAGGTGACAGGGAAATAGCTTATTCTTAGAATCGCATTAAATGTGAAATTTCATAGTGTGACATTTTTTGGATATTTTCTGTAAAGTTTTTGCAGCAATAAGGTCAAATTTTTACTGATAAATTTTTAATATTTATTGTTTCATTGTGACCTGTTTTATTTTAATAGTTGTGAACTTGCAGTTAGGCAGTTCTATAGGAAATGGTGCGCTCAAGGAACTAGTTATGGCAGTTTCATCGCCGGTAAATAGCTAAGACAGAAAAGGTTTAAATATGTTCTCTAGATGTTTTGAGAAAATCTTGGCATTATCTTTATCATTTCTGAACCAGAAGTTATTGTCATCTTTAATTGCGGGGATGTGCCGTTGCTTTTTTTTTTAATTTGTCATGTAGGTTTGCAAAGCTAGTAATTCAAAGCATTCTGTTGGTGTAAGATTTTCATTTCTTTAGTCACTTAATTTAATTTTCTTTTGTTTTCGGGTTTTCTTTTGTCTGGCTTATTGCCATTTCTTTCTCCATCTATCTGCAATTTTCTTTTTTAAAATTTTCCTCTTATAGTTCTACGTTCAATGATTAACCCAGCGAGACCAAATTTTTCTCTGAATGCATCCCAATTGTCTTTTTGTCCTGTGAGGTTGGTTGTTTTTTTTTTATTAGAATCTATGAATGAAAAGATTGAAAAACAAACCACGGCCAGTTTCTACTTTACGTTTTCTTATGTCGATTCCTTTAATAATGCAGAAGTTAATAATATCAGGGCCATCTATTTCTATCATACATAGAAAATATATTGTACATTGGTTTTAGCTAATAGATATTTGCTGTAGATTGTTTGCTTTCATTGCTTTGACTAATTCTCTTCCTTTTAGTGTTGTTAATCGTGAACCCCATATCGAGCGTTTAGCGTTATAATCGCCTCCTGTATAAAACTTCTTGCCCAATGTTGAAGAATACAAAATAGTGTTTCTTTTTGTTATGTTTCGGTGGACAGTATATGGCTGAGAGTATTGAATGATATTAGTAGCTGCTTTGTTACTGGGATGTTTTGTATGATATAATTCATATTTTGTAATTCTTAAGTAGTTTTTATTTCCAAAATGAGTTTCAGAAATCATTATGATGTCAACATTTTGTTCATTAATATTTTTAGTTCTTTAAAGTATTGTGCATCAAGACCATTGGCGTTTCAAGGAGCTATCTTATATTTCGGTTGTATTGCCAATTAGCTAGTTTGCTGATGGCGGTGATAAGTAGGTTTAACATTGTTCCCATTTGCTCCATGAGTTTGGTAGGCATTTTTTTCAAGCTAAGCCAAGTTGTTGATAGGTAGGATGTTGGCTGGTATCGTTTCATTATCGAGTGCTTGGGTATATGATAGTCAGTCCTGGTTGAATTTGTCGCACTGCGATGGGTTGGACTTGATGCATGTTATTTCTCTTTTCACGTAATGCATAATTCATAAAACGCTGTCAAAAGACTGAAGAATTATATAGATATTGGTTTGGATAATATCCCTGCGGAACTTTTTAAGAAAGGTGGGGACACTTTACGTAGTTGGTATTAATTTTTCTCTATGACCTCTGAAGACCAAATGTGAGCTGCTAAAAAACTTCTTTACAATTGCAAAGAATCTTTCTAAAAATCTTGTTCAATTTGAATTTGGGCCAAAGAGTTTGTCCCTTACTAAACTACCCCACTCAAGTTTCATTACCTACATCGTCATAATCTTTTAAAGCTTTTATATATAAAAATAAAAACATTACTAATTATCCGATTCATTACATTACAGTAATTTTTGATCTTTACTTAATTCCACAACCCTTGCATTCTAATCCAACCTCAATTTTCAATTAAACCACACACAAATTAAGTTTTATCTCCCCTCCACACCTCATCAATCAATCAATCATCATCAGGCAAAGGCCGATTTTCCAGTAAACGGCTTTCCCATTCAATTTTCATTTCGGTGGCGTCGCGACGCACTCAGACTGTGACCGAACGTGTAGAATCGATCGTTTTCAGTACGGTTTCGTCGCGGGATTGGCCGACGACAACAAACGTCAAGTACCTCCTTTACTGGTTGTTTCCAAAGGGAATTTCCAAGTACCCCGGGATCTTTATAAAGAAAAGCCGGCGAACGGAAATGATGTGAAAGTTGTCTTTACGTCGGTTGTTAATGTCAGTCGGTATTAAACCGAGGTTGTGTATGTGACAGAACGAACATCATCCGTCCGCAAGGATGTGGCGAGATCAAAGAGATAGACGAAGAAGCTTTTAAATGGGATCTTACGGTTATTAAGAAAATTAAAGACCTTTTTTAATTAATGAACGTGGAGTTCTAGTTTTAACCGTTTTTTTTACGGGAGGTAAGATTTAAAATTTTTTTTTTTTGACATATTGTAAGATATTTAAATTTTTTTAATAAATTTTCTTTCATTTTCTAAGTAAAGTCACGTACCGTTTAAATGTTACTTAATACTTACACAAACTGGCACAAATATACGCTAGAAGTGAAAGTTGAAAAGCAATCTTCATTTTAAATTAACCACTATTAATGGTTTTTGTGGTTTTATGTAACGTTTAAATTAAATGCTTATAAATTTATTTTTTAATCATTCCTTTTTCAGATTCCCAACCTAATTTAACTTTCCAATTTTCAATCCTTGATGATATCTGAAGAACCCACCAATAAACCAATCCAAGTAAAATGAACTTTCTTTCCACTCCGTTTTTTTGAAACATCTAAATTTGTTACAGTGGTTTTGTTTTCGTTGGTTAAAAGAAATGTCATCTCGTCCTAAAGATAAAGTAACAGCAATATTTCGAAAACTTTTTGCGAGATCCTCCACCAAAAACGGTGAAGGTCCCAGTAGACAACGCGAACCAAATAATGGTTCCCCAGCTAGAAGACTTTTACGTGGATGTAGAGATACTGTTTCTCCAGCTGCATCTTCAGGAAGTCCTTCGTTAACTTCTGCGAAATCGTCTAGATCAAAAACGTTGGAAGATCCACCATCGAGTAAAACCGTACGAGCACGACGTCTTATGAAAGAGTACAAAGATTTGCAGAGGATACAAAATTCTCGTCCAGATCCAGTGTTTTCCGTTGAACTTGTCGATGATAACTTATTCGAGTGGCACGTGAGGTTATTACGGGTTGATCCAGAAAGTGATTTGTACAACGATATGACTGAATTGGGAATAACATCGATACTTCTTCATTTAATATTTCCGGAAAACTTTCCTTTTGCACCACCTTTTATGAGAGTAATATCGCCGCGTATAGAGAAAGGATTTGTAATGGAAGGTGGAGCGATTTGTATGGAGTTGTTGACGCCAAGAGGATGGGCAAGTGCGTATACTGTGGAAGCGGTCATCATGCAATTTGCGGCTAGTGTCGTGAAAGGACAGGGTCGTATACAGAGAAAAGCTAAGGGTCAGAAAGTGTTCAGTAGACGGACTGCTGAAGAAAGTTTCAGATCTTTGGTGAAAACGCATGAGAAGTACGGTTGGGTTACACCATCTCTTGCGGACGGATAAAAAAAAATAGTTTTAAATTTTAAAGTTTAAAAAAGTCTGTAGTTCTTTTTTAAATGAATAAATCTCAACAAAGAAAAAGAAAACGAACGACTGATTGACAACAAAAATTATGAATCCGGTCCTGTTTTATATTTTAAGAATATTATACTCGTGTATTCGCGTAAGTGTTTATATGGATGTTAATCGGTGTTCTTATTACCCATTTTTGGTAGTCCATGAAATCACCATAAAGTTTTTACAATTTTATTTGAAATGTATCACGTAATTTACACAACAATGATAACTTTCTAATGGAATTGTAGGAACTATAAATAAGTTGTTGCATACGTATACTATTCAAGTAAAAATAAAAAGCATCCGTTCATTTTAACCCCATAAATACAAAAAAGAATGTACAGAGTTTGTTATATTTTGTAGGAAAATGTTTTTTGATATGAAGAGTGCATTAAAACCAAAAAAAAATGTCAAAACAATACTTTTTGGCTTATATTTGCAGGATGATCTATGTAATATTTTTATAATACGTTAAAACCTCGATATAACGAAATCCAACTCGGGTTATTCCCCAAGTTGCTCTATTTTATGTTTATATATAAAGTCGGGATATCTATTACCCGAGTTGTTTATACGATGAGTAAATCAAGGATGGTAGTTCTAGGTTTAATTATTATTCAGCGATATGGATTGTTGTATATTTTTATTGAACTAAAACTAGAACTAGAAACATTTCGGTTTAGACGTCTTAAGAGACGCACCGCTAAACCCAAATGTTTCTAGTTCTAGCTCTAGTGTTAGTTCTTGTGTCAGTAGTAACTCTAGTTTAAGAAAACATTTATCCTTGCGAGCAAGGCGGTAGAATTTCCCAGAGTTGACAATTTTGTGTTGATACAACAAATCCAGCGCCTCGCCCGCAAACGACCTCGGCGATTTGAGACGAAATCGTTCCTTATATTTCTTGGTAAAGACACTATAAGAAAACATTTACCCTCACTCCGCCGAGGTCGCTTGCGGGCGAGGCGCTAGTTTTCGTAAATTAACACGAAATAGTCAGCTCTGAAGGTTGTAGGGCCTCGCCCGCAAGCGACCTTGGCGATTTGAGACGAAATCGTTCCTTATATACCTTGGTAAAGACATTAAGTTTGTTATAAGAAAACGTTTACCCTCACTCCGCCGAGGTCGCTTGCGGGGAGGCGCTAGTTTTCATGAATCAACATGAAATAGGCAACTCTGACGGTTCTAAGGTCTTGCCCGGAAGTGACCTCAGCGATTTGAGACGAAATCGTTCCTTATATACCTTGATAAAGACATTAAGTCTCTTATAAGAAAACATTTACCCTCACTTAGCCGAGGTCGCTTGCGGGCGAGGCGCTTGTTTTGTTGAATCAACACGAAATAGTCAGCTCTGAAGGTTGTAGGGCCTCGCCCGCAAGCGACCTCGGTGATTTGAGACGAAATCGTTCATTATATACTTTTATAAAGACATTAAGTCTCTTATAAGAAAACATTTACCCTCACTTCGCCGAGGTCGCTTGCGGGCGAGGCGCTAGTTTTGATGAATCAATACGATATAGTCAGCTCTGATTGTTCAAGGGCCTCGCTCGCAAGCGACCTTGGCGATTTGAGACGAAATCGTTCCTCATATACCTTGATAAAGACATTAAGTCTCTTATAAGAAAATATTTACCCTCACTTCGCCGAGGTCGCTTGCGGGTGAGGCGCTAGTTTTCATGAATCAACACGAAATAGTCAACTCTCAGCGTTCTAAGGTTTCGCCCGGAAGTGACCTCAGCGATTTGAGACGAAATCGTTCCTTATATACCTTGGTAAAGACATTAAGTTTGTTATAAGAAAACATTTATCCTCACTTCGCTGAGATCAATACGAAGTTGTTAGTTTTCCTCGCCCGCAAGCAACCTTCTTGGTCTAGAACTAACGCTAGAAATAGAACTAGAAACATTCCGGTTTAGCCATTCGTCTCTTAAGATTGAATGTTTCTAATGTCTCTTAACCCTAGATTATTGCACTGTTTTCTACGAACACGAAAAACACTAAGTACTTTCCACAAAAAATATTTATTATAAAAAAAAATAAAAATATCAATCCATTTCTTTGGTGCTTTAGCACAACAATAATGAGATGGTATTACACATTGTATAAATATCACCTCTGTGCTCACTACAACTAGCATATTTGCACTGTTTGCAGTGGTCATACGTGTTTTCCCACTTGGGGAGTAGAAACAAATTTTTCGTTTCTTGTTTTCAGGTTCAGATTTTTCATCGTTACCAGAAATCTGTAGGATATTATCTACAGTGTGTCCCATGATAGATGTTACAAGAGGTATAATGACTTAAAAAGATTTGAATTTTATTTTAAGGCTAAGGAATTAACCCCTGCTTGGTGTGAAGAGAATTTTAAGAATATTTTCATATTTTGAAAACAAAGGCGGCCTTGACACTGAATCGAAAACTATTTTTAGTTTAGGTAAAGTAATCTTTTTGTTCATGATTATTCAAAATGAGAAATTATGGTCCTATACAAAATTTCAGATCTACTTTGGTTGAATCATCACATTTCAGTTTAAATAACATAAATATTGTATAGTAATTGAAATGTGAATTAAAACTGAGGGATAATACAATTTATTTGTCAATATTTGCGACAACTTAAGTCATTTTTTTTCATGGCATTTTTCATTGTTCTTTTTTCTTCACTCTGATCTAATCTAAAATATGGTGTAAATCAATGTAGGTAGATCTTCCTGAAATGTTGCATAGTGCCATAATTTTTCATTCTGAACAACTTTCCTTAATAATATTTTGTCGTGCCATGAACAAAAAGCTTACTTTACCTGAACTAAAAATAGTTTTCGCTTCACTATCAAGCCCGAGTTGATTTTCCAAATATGAAAATATACGTAAAATTCTCTCTATACCCTGCAGGGCTTAATTCCTCAGCGTTAAAATAAAATTTTTTAAGTCATTATAGCTCTTGTGGCATCTATCCTGGGACACACTGTATATTTTAGCAAACATTGCAACGTAGGGTAAACGCACCAGTGTTTGACCGAGTCATATTATTTTTCTTGTAGATCCCTCTGCCCTTACATAAAATCATCAAAATATGATCAAATACACATCTGATTCATTTAAAGTTACTTATAAAATTTTAATTGAAACCTACATATAAAATATAACATCATAAAGTAATATTTTACACATTATTTTACATTATTTGACCAATAATCTTCTATTCTTTGACCTTAAAACCGTAAATGTTTGACCGATTCTTAATATAATATTCATTTTCATTATTTTTTCATACAATTTTGTTCATAAAAAAATGTTCTTGACTTAACTTTTCACCCAAATTTTGTGTTTTCCAACTGGGTTTTTGTAACAGGAAAACCCCTATCTGCTGAATGAAACAACCTTTCAAGCAGTAGTTTTTCTTCATCAGAATTTAAAAATGCTGGTGGGCCCATTTTCCTCTGCATTGGTGTTTGTCCTTTTCCTCTTTATAAATAAGAGTTAACTTTGGTACATTAAACATCTTTCCTGCTTTTTCATAAGATAAATCCCTACTTCTTGCATCGAGAGCCTCTTGAAGATCTTTTTCACTATATTTAAACTTAATCTTCGTTGTCATATTGGTACTGAAAAAAAGTTAACCTGATTATATATTTGCTAAATTTTCCATATAGATTTTCCATTTTTTGATAATAATTGACCACCATAAGAGTCAGTGTTTGACCAACCTTTTATCCTTTTAATTTTACAGATTGATTACTGCTTAAATGTGTTCAATTACTTTTATTGTTATAAAAAAGGTTTAAAAAAATAGAAAAGAACCAAACATTTACACTTATATTTATATTAGGCTTAAATATTTATAAAATTTAAAATCGGTTAAAAACTCAGTGTTTGACCCGTTTGTGTCCTATAAATGACCAAAAGAAGAATCAGTAATTGACCGCATATTTAAACTGATTGTATCTTTATTTTAACAAATAATTAATTAAATGATTAGATCACTGGCAAACAAAAAGAAAACATCATACATGCAAAAATGGCTGAATAGTACTACCTTGTTTGGGCGAATTTCTAAACATAAAAATTACCCTTTTTAGCATGATGTGAAAAAACCGACAGTTAGCGCGAAATTAAACAACAAGAACTCAAGAATGGTATGGTTGTGGACTTTTTGCGTAGTAGTGGGTGGAGCAGAGACTGGTGGCTATTTATGGATAGATTTTTTTTTAGATATTCCTTGGATCCTTATTTTTGACATTTTTTTTACAAAAACGGTCAAACACTGACCAACGGTCACTTGCTGGCGTTTTACCCTAAAGTGTTATTTTTCAATCTCTCTCTTATCCATGGTTCAGCCAGATAGCGACTCAAATCAATCATATATTAAATAGGTATTTAATGAATTTTTATTAGTTTTTAAACAATAAAATTTGTTTCATCATGAAACTCACTCAATTCTGATTCTATGTTATCTGCTTTCCAATCATTGTCACTGTCTTCAAAAGGTTCGAGATCACTTTCATTGCTGTTCAATATTTGTTGTACTTTATCTACTTCCTTTTGCGTCAATGGTTTTTCTTAAAGACATTTTTCTCTGAAATGTCAAGATTTATTTGAAAGCATTATCGTAAAACTGTTGCCCTGAAAATTTTTAAGTTCGTTATGGACACTACGTAAATACTGGACTTTCGTAAAATTTACGACTGAAGTTTAAAATAATCGCCGTAATCGTAGTAAGCTAAACACTCTAGAGAGTCTAGAGGCTGGTAATGAAGTGCTCAAAGACTTAAGTGCCGTAAAATTTACGAGTGTCTAGTAATCTAGAGTTAAGACGGCTAAACCCGAATGTTTCTAGGTCTAGTGTTAGTTCAAGTTTCAGTTGTTATTCAGCGTTAGATTCTTGTATATTTTTCATTGAACTAAAACTAGAACTAACAGTAGACTTAGAACTAGAGAGTCTCGGGTTTAGCTGAGGGTCTTTAAAGAACCCCAAGTGTTTCTAGTTCTAGGTCTAGTGTTAGTGCAACTTTTAGTTGTTATTCAACGTTAGATTGTTGTATATTTTTCATTGAACTAAAACTAGAGGTATAACTAGAAACATGCACTAACTAAAGAGATCCCTAACAAGATCTTTATTTTATACTATGAACCTTAAGTCTCAAACTAACAACACTAGAAAACACGAATAGAATTAATCATTTTCTAATTCAAAGTGTGAAATAGTAGTTGCCTACCCATACGTGACGTCACGAACGGTCCTTTTATTCACCTGTTTCTGGGATGTAGCAGTTCTCTTAGATTCTACCGTCCTTGGTATAAATATAAAGTCACGTAGATAGAACGCAAAGTTGTGTTTAACACTACCTTCCCCGTATTAATTCGTTATATCGAGATTTTACTGTAATTGCTTAAAAATGATTTAATTCATTAGAAATGGGTAAGTTAACAGGGTTTATAAAATTAAAAAATAAAATAAAATNAAAACATTTGCCCTCACTCCGCCGAGGTCTCTTGCGGACGAGGCTCTAGTTTTAATGAATAAACACGAAATCGCCAGCTCTGAGGGTTCTAGGATCGCCCCTGCAAGCGACCTCGGCGATTTGAGACGAAATCGTTCCTTATATACCTTACTAAAGACATTAAGTCTCTTATAAGAAAATATTTATCCTCACTCTGCCGAGGTCGCTTGCGGCCGACGCGCTAGTTTTGATGAATCACCCCGAAATAGTCAGGTCTGAGGGTTTTAGGGCCTCGCCCGCAAGCGACCTCGTCGATTTGTGACTAAATCGTTCCTTTTGCATTTCTGTAAAGACACAAAGTTTCCCGCAAACAACCTTCTAGGTCCAGAACTAACAGTAGACCTAGAACTAGAAACATTCTGGTTTAGCCATTCGTCTCTTACGACTGAATGTATCTAATGTCTTAACCCTGGATTACTGCACCGTTTTCTACAAACACGAAAAAGACCACTTTTCACAAAACATATTTTTTACCAATATTCCAAAAAAACAATAAATCCATTTCTTTGGTGCTTTAGCACAACAATAATAAGATAATATTAAGAGCATTTTTAATGATGTATTACGCATTGTAGAAATATTGCCTCTGTGTTCACTACATACAGGTGATTTTCAACCTATACGCATAAACTTGGGGATTTATTCCTCGAGATAAATAATGGGTAATAAGTGAGAAAAATTTTAGTAAAAGGTTTTAATTTCATAGATATCCGATATATGCGGCGACATCTACATAAGGTGCTTCCCGGAAGATGGACAGGTCGAGGTAGTCCATTGGCCTGGCTATCTCGATCGCCCGATATAATCTCGTAACAAACTGCTGCTGAAACAATACGCATCATCTTCAAAGCGTACAATCTTTGCTTCCAGAAATCATCTTATACAGCAAGCAACACCAAACTATCTCCTCTGTTTAGAACCACCATACTTATTTCATCTTCTGCAAAAAATGTTTACATACCTTTGTGTGCTACGTCCTTCTGATTGCAAGAGTTGCCTACACAAATGATGCATGGCGAAATTTAGTAATGAGATGAAAAATGACATGTACTTATCACACAATGTTGAGGAAAACGTTGAGAGCATCAAAAAGAATCAGAAGAGAACTTATGTCCGGCATAAAAGCGTCAGACAGTCCTCTGTTTCATTGATCTAACCAAAACGTTTGACAAAGTGAGAATAAAAGAATTAGAACAGGGCAAACATTACAAAGTATGTAATGTATAGTATATTTATACTATGAATGAAGTGAATACTGAGGAAGTTAAGTACTAAGCTTTGATGTCATTTTAAAATCTTATATGTATTCTTGATTTGATAGTAAATTTCATGGATATCTAGGAAACTAAAAAACTTTTGCTACAATTTTTTTCACCTATTACTCATTATTTGTCATGAGGAATAAATCCCCAAGTTATGCATATATGTAGGTTGAGAATCATCCTGTACACCATGTTAGCACTGTTTGCAGTATGTGGTGGTCATACGTCTTTTCCTACTTGGGCAGTAGAAACAAATTTTTTGTTTCTTGTTTTCAGGTTCAGATTTTTCATTGTTTCCAGAAATATTTAAGATATTAGCTATATTTTGGAAAATATTGCAAGTGTTACTTTCAAGTCTCTCTCTTATCCATTGTTCAATCAGATAGCGACTCAAATCAATCATGTATTGATACCTATTTAATGGTTTTTTATTAGATTTTAAACAATTTGTTTCATTATCGGACTCGCTCAATTCCGATTCTATGTTATCTGTATCCCAGTCTTCAAAAGGTTCACTCTCTTCGCCATTCATTATTCGTTGTAGTTCTTCATCTATTTCCTTTTGCGTCAATGGTTTTTCTTAAAGACATTTTTCTGTGAAATATCAAGATTTATTTGAAAGCAATTTCGCAAAACACGAAAATTCTGTTACCTTGAAAATTTTTATGTTGGTTATGGACGTATAATACTGGACTTTCGTAAATTTTATGACAAAACTCTAAAATGTAATCGAATTTGTAAACAACGCACCCACCACTACTATCCGTGCAAAAAGTCAAAGTCCCTCACTTTAGAGATCGATATCTTCGTAAGCGCTCTATGGAAAAAATTGCGGTAAAGTTTATTGTAGTCAGTGAACATTTCTGCGTATCACATGTTGATTTGGAAATTTTCGGGTCTGCTGTTTTTCTTTTATCACGAGTTAAGTGAAAAAAGTACCCAATTTTTGAGAGTGCCAGCAACTTTGTCTACTCTGCGATTTTTTTTCTCCAAAACTATTTGACAAAACTTTTTGAAAACTAGAACTAACACTAGAGCTACAACTAGAAACATGCACTAACCAAACTCGATTAAGATCTTTATTTTGTGTTATGAACCTTCAGTCTCAAACTAACAACATTACAAAACACGAATAGAATAAATTGAGCGTTTGCTAATTCAAAGTGTGAAATAGTAGTTGCCTACCCATACGTGACGTCACGAACGGGCCTTTTATTCACCTGTTTATGGGATATAGCAGTTCTCTTAGATTCTACCGTCCTTGGTATAAATATAAAGTCACGTAGATAGAACGCAAAGTTGTGTTTAACACTATCTTCCTCGATTTAATTCGTTATATCGAGATTTTACTGTAATTGCTTAAAAATGATTTAATTCATTAGAAATGGGTAAGTTAACAGGGTTTATAAAATTAAAAAATAAAATAAAATTGTTATATACACGAATAATTTCCATAATTTACACGTATTCAAGGTATGTTAAGGGTTAAGGCAGTTTTTGAAAGTGTTTTTGTACATTCCTAAATACGTACCTACCTTAACTTAAGTTATAAAAAAAGAACGAGAAATAAATCAAATCAAAATGCTCAGGCACAATACTAATAAAATTAAAAAAGGAACTCGTTTCTGTGCGATTTTATATCCATAAATTTAAAATAAATTACCCTAACAGTATTATTAATATATTAATAATTACTAATCGTAATTAGATCTCGTCGTTACTACTTCTAAAACAATGTATATTTGGTGTGTTAAGTTTTCTAGTCTAAATTTCGTCTTCCAAAGGCCTCTATTATTATTTCGATAATGTAGTTTTATCAATCTTCGAATAAACGAATGAATAAATGTATTATACATAAAAGAGTCTTATTTTACTTTTGCATCATCCTGTACACAAAATATTTTTTATGTCAAGCGTCAAAATCTGCAGTACCGGCCTGTCATCAACTGTCAAACGTCTGGGGCTTTTGTATTCAATGATATCGTTAATTCGGCGTTAAAATTAATCTTTCCAGTACGATTTTTACCCAGTCCTTTTTAACTAAGCTCTTAGAACGTAGTTGAACTAATTTATAAAGATGCTGATTAAGGTTAAGGTAAGCGGATTTGAGGTTATGTTAAGACGTTTTTTTCTAATTTGATTTTCTTTATGAAGACTTTAACGGGTAAGGAAATTGAAATTGATATTGAACCCACTGATAAAGTGGAAAGAATCAAAGAAAGAGTGGAAGAAAAGGAAGGAATACCCCCACAACAACAGCGTTTGATTTTTTCTGGAAAACAAATGTAAGATATTTACAAAGTTATTTTTATCGTTTAATTGAGTTGATTGAAATGATTTTTTTTTGTAGGAATGATGAAAAAACAGCCCAAGACTACAAGGTCCAGGGTGGCTCAGTGTTACATTTAGTTCTAGCTCTTCGCGGAGGACTGTAAGCAATGAATTACAATCACAAACCACTTTGTTAATCCTCTAAAAACAGTACTACTATTTAATATATTATATTTTGTAAGCTACTATTTTATTTTTTGAGGAAGTTTCGGCCTTGTTTTCTTATTTGTTATTGCAAATATAAAAATGCTAAAAATGAAGTTTCGGTTCAAGTGACATCAATAAATAAGTTTTTTAATATTTTTTGTTTTAATATACATGTTATAAAATTTATAATTTATATATTTAATATAATAAACGTTTTTAAAGATAAAATTAATTTTGTTGTAGGCAACTTCTTTTACTCTTTTGAAATTTGAGATTTCAAATTAGAACTAAATTATAAATTTGTTGTAAAATTACCTGGAAATGATTTGCAGAGTTATTATTCGGCTTTTAAACACTTGTTAATCAATTAAATTATTTTTATTCATTGTGAAGTCAGTTATGCCTAGGGTTCTGATATCTCAGCCTGGGACATCTTTTGGGTCTTTTTTCGGTTGGTGTTGATATTGTTGATCACCAGTAGATTAATTCGCTTTATTAATTCAATTGATTACTCTTTTATTACATTATTTCTCTTAATTACAAATTTTTAATTTATGTTTTTGCCGATATAGGCAACCAAACTAACATCTCTTTAACACTAGATCATGGTAGACATAACCTCACATTTTTAATACTGTCAATTTGTAAAGTAAATAACATTGTTTATTGATATTATTAAATATTATTATTAAGGTCGAAGATGAGTTACGAAGCTATAATTGATCATTTGAAAGTATTAAATTCCCAAAACTTATCAGGTATGAAATTTTAATTTAATAATTAGATATTTCTAAATAACAATATAACCTCACTTTTTATTAAAACTGCAAAATCTTTAAAATTATTAATTTTTAGAATATCCTGGAGATTTAAATGAACTTCTTACTAAAAATATCGAGTCTACAATCACCCAAGTACAACTAAATGATACGATTTTCATTTTACCTGATTTAAAACCTTATGAAATTAATGATAATTTTATAATCTGGAAATACATCTGCTTTAATTCTTATTTATTTAAAGAATTAGGAGAAACATTAAAAGATGTTGATACAAATTTATTAAGTGTCCACCAAAATAAGCTTTTGCAAAAATCTTTTGATAATTACATAAACTTAGGAATTTGTGCAAATTTATTACCAAATATGTCAGCATATCATAAAATATCAATACCTAGAGATGAAAATTTAATCATAAATCAATACAAAATGTTAGCAGCAACAACATCATTTCTAATTTACCTCTTAAAGTATCCAAAATTACGCTTAATTATCTTATCAAGCTTTTCAAAGCCTCTTCTTAATGCTTTATACCAAATAATTCATTGCCCATTAAAAAAACCTTCCACTGAATCAACATGTAATTTCGTTATGTCGGAAGAAATTTATAACTGGTTGCTTGAGGATAAAGAAAAGTTTAAAAAATCGTTTGATTACCTTGTACATTTATTGAATAAAAAAATTTATGTCCACAATACAATGATGTTAATTACACCAAAATCGCCGAAATGGTTAAAAAGTTCTGTTTCTCAAACGTTAGATAATATTCTTGTTGCTCCTCAAGGTGTTGAATCGACTCTTTGGGCAATGTTAGAGTATAAAGTGGATTCTTTTGAGATGAATGATAGAACAAAAAATTGGGAAACTCTTGAGATTTTAACAAAATTAATTTTAAATTTTTATAATAAACCAGAATTTGATGGTTTGTGTAATCAACTGATTAATTTGTTAAATAAACGAGATAATAATAAGAAAATTACAACATTTGAAGATTTATATTGTTTGTGTGTTAAACAATTGTATTTAATTGATAAAGAAGTTTGCAAAAAAAAATTATTATGCAACATTTTTGATCAATTAAACCGTTTTTGTTATGAAAATACAAAAAAATTTGTTGATAATGAGGATATAACTGGTGATATTGAACATAATTTTCGATTAATTTATAATTGCTTTATTGGAAAAAGTCTACAAACAACAGATTTACCAATTATTTTAATAAAAAAATATTTGAATGTATTTTTTAATTTTTATATAATATCATTAGATTCGCCTCATGGTTTATTAAAAAATCAATTAGAAGATATCCTTTTAAAATATATGAAAAATTCAGATTCAGAGATTTTCGATAATTTCCTCTTTGATTTACAACCAAACGAAATCGCTTTAATGAGGCGAGATATTTTTATTGAAATCCGAGGAAAATCGGTGTTTGTTAAAGTACCTCAAAGTAAAATTAAAATTAATATAGGAAGAAAAGGAGATGTTCTTATAAAGTTATGTAGAAAAAACGAGGATTTATATATTTCTTTATTTTTATATTACATGAGAACATTAAAAGATACAGAAAAATATTTTAAATTAACAACGAATTTAGATTTATTAAAATTAGAAGATGAGGTAACTTTAGATGAAGTAACCGAAAGAAAATTGATGGTTTTTCAAAATTTATCAGCTTTAGCTGAAGATGTATTAATTCAAGAACATATAAACGAAAATCCAAAAACAATAATCGATTTTTTAAAAGATTCATTAACAAACATCTTAACATCCAATATTCATAAATCGCTGGATTTTGATTCGGATGATTTTCAAAATGTTTTTACGACAGTGATGATTCTTCAAGCACTGGTAATGAATTCCACTAAAGAAAATTTAAAATATTACAAAACCCTCTCTGAAATTGTTCACACCTTATTTTGTGAAACTCTAAATATAGAATTAAAACAACTTTTAAAAACGATCGATAACATTTTATGTAACGATGATTTTAAACAAAAATCAAAAAAAGTTGTAAAATCTGAAGTTGATAAAGCTCTCGATGACATAACTGATCCATTATTACCTGTGAGAGGTCACGGATTATTGGTTTTGTCGAAGTTGATTGAAAAACGGGATAAAGAAATAATGGAAAGAAAAAATTATGTTTTAAATGTTTTCCAACAAAACTTAAAGGATGAAGATTCGTTTATTTATTTAACATCAATCGGTGGGTTGGCCGCGATGGCCGATGTATTTCCTGATATTATTATTAAAATTTTAACTGAAGAATATTCAGATTTTTCAAAGAAAGAGAATGAAATTCGTATGAAACTTGGTGAAATTTTAGTTAGGGTGACTAAAAATTTAGGTGAAATGGCACCTAAATATAAAAGCGTTTTGCTTAATACATTTTTGGTTGGCACAAAAGATGAAGACCACCTTATTAGAGCTTCAAGTTTATCAAATTTGGGTGAAATTTGTAAAGTTCTTGGTTATAAACTTGGAAGTATTGTAACCGAGGTAAATTGCAATAACGCTAGTTTACAAATAAAAAAAATGTACATTTGATGTCACTATGTTTTTGCTGCACTTTGACCCACTAATTAGAATATACTATTAGAATTTGTTATGTGGCTGGGGTTTTGAAACACAAATTAAATTTTTTTTAAGGTTATTTTCAGTAGAGCTTTTGTGGAATAATTTTTCGGTAAAGGACTCGAACATGCAAAGGGCATAAGGGAACTAATATAACTGATCAATCTCGTACTTATTATGAGGTGAGATTGATCTCTGAATTTTTAATGCAAATAGGACAAGCGTTTGATGTACAATATGATCAATCTCACCCATTCTTCTCTTTTTCAAGCAGTTTAGGAATTACAGAATTATGTAATAAATTATGTAGTAGACAGAATTATGTAGTATGATGAAGTGAAATTAAACATTACATTTATCTAATCTAAAACTAGACCTAAAAACTTTCGGGATAAGCAGTGCGTTTTTTGAAAACATTGTTTAACGTTTTGGATGCCAACCTTCTTCAGAAATAAGTTCAAAATGACGAAATCGATTAAAGTTTGACAATAAATACGCGAAAAGATAATTAATAGCTATTATAATTAATGTCTTATTGTCAATTAAGTTATTTTTGTCAAATCACGTTGGAGAAGGTTTCGTTGAGTTAACTAGCATCTTCCATGTGTGGCTGAGTTCCCAGCCGTTTTCTCTATTTATGTTATTCCCATGTCGATCTCCATCGCCATTTTTTGGAAATAATGTCCGGTTCTTGCTAGTACTTTGGTTTTACCGAACTCTATGGTGTGTTCTCCTTTGTGACAATGCTCTGCAGATTGTTGGACATCCCTCTCATGTTCCTTGATGCGGCATTCAATGTTATGTTCAATTTGGCCAACGTAGTACTTCCTGAAACTGCACGATAGCCTGGGGATCTTTAATAGGGTTAGTTTGTCTTTAGCATTTGGAAGAGCGTTCTGTATTTTGCTTACCGTTCCGTATTATTCCGTTCCTTTTCAGGCATCTCGCAATTCGCTCCGACACACTTGAAGCATAAGCAAAGTAAATAAATCCGGCTGGTGTGCTACTTACCGAGTCTTTCCTCTGCGTGGTTTGGTGGCATATCCCTCATCGTTTAGCCGTTCTTCTGCAGTACATCTTGTAGGAATCTCTTCTTTCTTTAAGTTTTCTTTGTCACATATTCTCTTTGCGTGCTAGAATAATGCTTTAATCACGGACCTCTTCCGTTCTGACTGTTCATGGGATGAAGCCTGCAGGTTTCCCAGTTCCATGCCCCCATCTGTCTTTCTAGTGACCAGAACATCCAGGAAAGGTAACTGTTTTACAGCTTCCGTTTTCATGATGAATTTAATTATGAAGTGTTGTGAAGTTAGGTGATCTAGGAGTCGCTCTTTTCCATGATACCAGATCACGAACGTGTAATCCGCGTAACGGACCCATAGCTTCGGTTTCCACGTACTCTTAACGCTTCCTGTTCAAACATTTACATGTAAAAATTGGCGATCGCTGGTGACAGAGCTCCCTTCCAGTTAAAATATGTCGATGATAGGCAGTACTCTACTAATCCTGGTAATACTCCAATAAGCCTTCCGGAATAAGTATCTAGTGAAGACCTTCCACGGCATTCTTGACTCATACACTGGTGAATAGAGACTCCACGTCGAAACTTACCAGGATATCCTGGAGGTCTAACCTTATACTCCTGATTGATTCTATAAAATGTGTAAAATCTCTGACATATGATTCTGTTTTACCGTTTTTAGTGTAATTAACACCAGTCGTGAAAGCCTTCATATATAAGATTTAGTAAAATTGCATATATGTCAGTCAGGCTTGCTACAAATTCGTTGTCTTGAAGTTCAGATATATTTCGGTTGAAACAGTAAACCTTAGCCCCTACAGCTCAATTTCTTTTTTTCCTTTGTCATTTTTTTCTTCCACATTTTGGACAGTAGCTTCACACCGATATAGTTTTTTTCTTGATCGTGATTTTCATATTTTTTTGGTTGAAAGTACTCTGCTTTCGCATCATAATTATCGGATTCTAACGTTTCCATCGGAGCTGTCATTGGTCATTGCCTCATTTATCTCTGAATCATTAGAATCTTCATCGTTTTGTGCTACAACGCTCTTTCTGCTCCCACGTGTAATTTTTATCGTTTAATATTTCTCCATGTTGGTGCCGCAATATTTATTTATTTATCGTATGAGTATGCATAAAACGTAAATGTAGAGTATAATACATATAGATGAAAGAAAATATAAAATACGTCTACAAACTATAACACACGTATGTTTAATATAAAATGGACGATGGCCACTCGCGGCAGATTGAAAAAGTCATCTAATCCGCCAAGGCATGCCGATATTTCGCAGTTTAGAACCATATGTTCAATGGTCTGGTTCTTCCTAACTCAATCATACATGGGGTCTGGGGATTTATACCATTTATGGAGTGAAGCTTTGCATAAGCCGTGCCTTTTTTAAATCCTTTTAACGGTTTTCCAGATGTGGCAGGGCAAGACAAATCCAACTGGTTTGCAAGATATGTTCAGGTTTTGGCTCAATTCGTAGGTGATGGCCTGGTTCCATGTCAGTCTCCAGCTCCGGTCTATATTAAAGTTCTCATAGCGTAGCTGTCTTTAATGCAGGTGTCTAAATTTGGGCCTAGTGGACTATACCATTTTTTTTTATATTCTTGGACCAAAGCGTACTGTGTTCCTCAGCTTAGGCGGTAGTTTTTATACAACTAGTAATTGCTGGTATGGTGGAGTTTACTTGGGCATCTAAGTTGTCGGTGTGTCGGCTATTCAGTCAGATGGGTGGGCAGTACTCGCAGCACTGCAGAGAAGTCCTAGGGGCGAGCACCGCAAGATTGTAGTTGTTGATCCCCACGTGATGCCACATAATTTCTGAACGCTATTGTTTCTTGCCACAGGGTGCCACCAAACCGAATGTCTAGTTGGCGTGTGGCCTCTTTGTTATTGACGTGAAAGCATATACACTCCGTTTTGTTTGGATTAGGTGTCAATCTCCATTTTGTATAATGCTCGCCCACCACAATCAAATCGCAATTCTCTCCATCTCCTCCACGGTATTACGGTTCATAGCCAAATCATCTACGTATGCGAATTTTACGCTAGTTGTACCTGGCATGTGTGCAGTGTAGAGATTGAAAAAAGTTGGTGCAAGGACAGTTCTGCAGTTAATAACTGAGAAAAATCGTCTGTTGTTGATGGGTTTCCTTCCAGTTGCTTAAAACCGATTTCCATGCTGTTGAATGGACGGAAAAGGTTAGTGGACAAATAAAGGCTATTTTTTTATATCTTTGTAAAACAGTGTCTGTGAAATGTGATGAGAGATTGTCTTTTATCAACACCTCGCGGAGAGATAAATGTTTAGCGTGTAGCGAAAAAGGACTCTGCATCCAATATGTGAATGTTTGAGCATCCATCCATCCAAGATTTGTTCTGTTTAACGGGAACTAATACTACAACATCTATCATTACTACACTTGGATTAGTTGGAATTCATTCAGGCGATTTTTCCAAGTTATCGGAGTACACTGAATGTTTTTTGTTCAGCATCAAAAGCAGTGCAAACGTACCAAAAGCAGAAATGTTCGTAGGGAAATTAGATTTTCTCATGAAATTAAAACGTTTATTATTATTCAAAAGCTCCCAAGTTTACATTTAGATATTTCGTTATTTTCAATTTCTTCTGTAATTTCGTCCAACACCGTATCTTGACGACTTTTTTGAAATTTACTCATATTTTCGGCAATATCTTTCAGTTTACTTTCAGTTAGAAACTTTCTTTTTGCCATAATTTATAGTTATTAGAAAAACATAAAAGAGATAGTGATAGTAATCACGTGCTTTTCGATAGACGTTAGATGCATTAATGATTTGTTTATCACTCATAACGTATTCAACACAATAAATGTAGTCTTATTTGTTACTTTCTATATTTTACTACTAATGTTTATTATGCTTTCTGCGTATGTGTATAAAATTTTGTCTATTGAAATAATTGATACTAACATCACGGAAAATGAAGAATTTTTCGTCGCTTTATAAAGTTGGTTATGAATAGAAGAAATGAGAGGTGGAAGGAAATAATTGTGTTGTTATTGCAACATAATTAGTTCTAATAAGCTCTTGCAACATATTTTTTTATCTGATTTTAACATTTTCTGTTAGCAGTTTGTTTTTCATTGCATGCTCAAATTTCCAAGCAGTTTGATGTGATGCATAAAGCATTTCATATTAACCTACTTCTCTCAAAATCTCCGTTCAATTTTGTATTTCTGTGTATTGCTCGACTCAAAGCAATTTATAACATAACTTCAATGTTATGACAATTGTCACATAGTTCTGTGTTTAACGCGAAGCAAATTGCTCGAAATTCAAAATGAATATATAACGTAGTATGTTTCAAAGTTATGTTATCTTAATTGATAATACATCAATACTCAACATAGCCAATAGCTTATATTCTGACAGGAAATTCATATATTAAAAAAGTTACATCTCAAATTAATAAGCTTTTCGAACTTAAGACGCCAAATTACAAATAAAATAAAGTGACAACGAATCTACATTTCGATTATAAACTACATAACGTAATTAAATATTATTTTGAATTAAATTGGTTATTTTTAGGTACTAGTATGTGTTCATTCCATTATAACAACTGATAAAGCTGTGGAAGCTCGTCGAGCTGCCGTAACAGTGATAAGACAATTATTAGCTGGATTGGAAGTTGAGATGGTTGTATTTTTAAAAGATCACATCCTCGAAATTTATAGAACTTTAAAAAATATTTATAATAACGATAAAGATGATATAATGAGGTTGCAAGCTCAATTGGGTTTGGAAGAATTAAACGAAAATATGAAAGATTTTGTTTTCCCAAAACCAACGTTAAATATAGAGAAAAAATTAGTAGTGTTGAATTGATGAGGGGCAAAACAAATAAAATACTTAATAATTAATTTAGTTTATTATTTCAAATTTTTTTCACACTTAGTAATAACCTAAACAATAAATACTACACGTCCTTACAAGATACATCAATTGCGTACTATACAAAAGTATTTAAGTATCACTCATTTAAAAAAACACATTGTATATTATTTTTTTGATACGCAATAGTGTTTACTTAGCCTTAATTGTGGAACTTGTCACCAGAGAAAAAATTGTTATACATGTTTCCCCCCTAATTGAAGTGAAGTTACGTGTGTCGAGGCCCATCTGTAGTTTCTCTTGTCCTATCACAGTTAAGAGAACGCTTCCACGAGAAGCAGGAATTAACTTACTTACTACCGCATTCGGAACTGTCAGCTTCGATCGTTGTACTCGTGCTACTAACCGATACTGTAGAATGCACCGATATATTATCCAGTTCTTCTTGTTCTTTCTTTAGTGTCCATTTGAAAGAAGCCGCGACTAATCCCGCTACCGCAGCAACCATAAGTAAAGTAATTATTGTTATGGGAAGCGCATTGTTTGTGGTATCTTCTTGGAATATTTCTTCATGCGTACCATCAACTAGACAATAAGATATAAATAACATTTATTATTACCAAGATAATAATAGTTGGATGTAGAAATTTTACAACTAGTAGTTTTTGGGCTTAGTGTGTGACGTCAATTGTAACGACTTGAAACTAGGCGGCGAAGTGACATAATTCTAAGCGACAACGGCTTCCGCAATTATCCCCGCGTTAAAAGAACATCAGGGAACGTGCTAGCTCTCACTCATATTTCATAAATAACGGCTAAGTGCATAGTAGAAGCGGGAAACGTTTGTGGTAACTGGTTTAGCGTGTCAGTTAGTTAGGTGTAATGGTCGTAAATGACCAAAACGGTTTCACAGTTTAAGTCCTAAATAACTATACAATGCCAAGCAAGTGTTTATTATGGTTTCGTTTTGTTGAAAGAGTTCGTTTAAAAATAATTCTAAGTAGACACGCAAAACATTGTAAATAATTATAGTACAGTAAAACCTCGATATAACGGATTAATACGGTGTTAGTGTCTGTTATATAAAAAATTATTAATTTACAGTTTAAACTGTTTGAATAGATAATTTTAACGCACACAAATTCGAAATATAACATTCTTTATTAGTTAGTTCTAGTTTTAAATTGTTCAATAAAAAATGTACAATAATCTAACGCTGAATAACAACTAATAATAAAACTAACACTAGAACTAGAAACATTCGGGTTTAGCCGTAACTCTCTTAAAACTGCTAAACCCGAATGTTTCTAATTCTAGGTCTACTGTTTGTTCTACTTTTGAACTCACTGAGTCACTGAAACTAGAACTAACACTAGACCTACAACTAGAAACACGGCCGTTTTCGAAGACATCGGCCGCCCCGGAGTCATCGCGGATACCAAGACATAGAAACCAACCTCTTTTCAGTGTTCCACCTTTTTGTCTATTCCCATTTTTGTCTTTTTAGCCTCTATTCAGTCTTTGCAATCTTCTTTTCGTATTCATCATTTTTTTTGCATTTATAGACTTTTTTGGTCTTACTCCTTTCTGGCTAGTTTCTTTTTTCTCATTTCACGTTCTGTTCAGTGTCTTTCTTCCATTACAAGTATTATTCCAGTATTATTCCTTTTTTAATTTCCAGTCTCTTCATAGTCTTTGTCATATTTCGTGACACTCGCGGGCGGCCGACGTCTTCGAACCGGCCGTGTTCAATTTTTGTAGCAGTTTCAAGCGAGATGAACACATGGCAGAGGAATTAGTTGTTATACATAACAAACACGGCCGTTTTCGAAGACATCGGCCGCCCCGTGGTCATCGCAAACACCAAGACGTTGAAACCAACTTCTTTTCAGTGTTACACCTTTTTTTTCCTTTTGTTTTTTTTTTTTCCACCTTTAATTCAGTCTTTTTCTACTTAGTTTCTCTTTTTAGGTTCTGTTCAGTATCTTTGTTCTATGACAAGTCTGTTTCTAGTATTACTCCTTTCCGCCCAACCTGCTTGTTTCATTTCCAATCTTCCTTTGAGATATTTCGTGACACTCGCGGGCGTGTGACGTCTTCGAAGCGGCCGTGTTCAATTTGTGTAGCAGTTTCAAGTGAAATGAACACATGGCAAATGAACTAGTTCTTACTTACTAACACTTCTTACTACTTCTTACTAACACGGCCGTTTTCGTAGACATCGGCCGCCCCGCGTTTCTCACAAACACCAAGACGTTGAAACCAACCTCTTTTCAGTGTTACACCTTTCTGTCCATCTCGTTTTTCTCTCTCCAACCTCAATTCAGTCTTTTTCTACTTAGTTTCTCTTTTTAGGTTCTGTTCAGTATCTTTGTTCTATGACAAGTCTGTTTTCAGTATTACTCCTTTCCGCCCAACCTCCTTGTTTCATTTCCAGTCTTTCTTTGAGATATTTCGTGACACTCGTGGGAGTCCGACGTTTTCGAAGCGGCCGTGTTCAATTTGTGTAGCAGTTTGAAGCGAGATGAACATATGGTAAAGAAACTAGTTCTTACTTACTAACACTTCTTACTACTTCTTACTAACACGGCAGTTTTCGAAGACATCGCAAATACCAAGACATTGAAACCAACATTTTTTTCACTGTTACACCTTTCTGTCCATTCTCGTTTTTCTCTCTCCAACCTCAATTCAGTCTTTTTTTTGTATGGCTATCATTTTCTTGCATTTATAGACTATAACTGCTATTATAGACTTTTTGTAGTCTTCCGTGACTTCTTCAGTGTCTTTCTTCTATTACTAGTCTGTTTCCAGTATTACACCTTTTTGCCCAAGCTTCTTGTTCATGTCCAGTCTCTCTTCGAGAAATTTAACACTCGATCTAGTGTTTGTTCTAGTTTTAGTTCAATGAAAATATACAACAATCTAACGCTGAATAACAACTACAACACGAACTAACACTAACATTAGAACTAAGGCTAAACCTAGAACGAGAAACATTCAGGTTTAGCCGTCTTAAGAGACGCACTGCTAAACTCGAATGTTTCTAGTTCTAGGTCTAGTGTTAGTTCTACTTTTAGTTCAACAATCTAGCGCTAAAACTAGAACTACCGTCCTTGATTTATACATTATATAGACAACTCGGGGAATATATAAACATGGAATAGAGCAACTTGGAGAATAACCCGAGTTGGATTCTTGTTCGTTATATCTGAAATCCGTTTTATCGAGGTTTTACTGTATTTGATAACTATTTGAAAAGGAAATGCTATAATTACTTAAATAAATTAATAAATATCATCATTCAATTAATATTAATGAAAAAAGGATTAATAAGTAATAGTATCAAGTTAAGATTTATACCATTTTATACATTAATTGGCTCGTTACAGCCGAATAAGAACAACCACAGAACCCTCATTAATTAAAACCCAGTCAGTTTTTATTTCAAACCAAATGATTTCAACATGTTATTAGTCATGCCTTATTAAGACATAAAACAACATACCCAAAGCTTCTGGTTTCGCTAAATACCCATTCCTCATCTTTCTTGCGCGCCTAGAATACTGAGTGTTTTCCTCTTGACTTATTGAAGCATGTCCTTGGCCCATCGGTTTGTGGGCAGGAAGACTTAATCCGGCCCTAACCGTTAACGTTTCCGGCTGATACGAGCATAAAACGAGAAATCTTCTTGTACTATGCGTTAGAATCGGCAGGTTTTCTTGTACTATAACGAATGTGGCAACGGTAGTGTCGTTTACTTGGCTTCCGCATTCCGCATGGTTAATTCTGAGGGTGTATGTGTCTTTTGGATTGTTAGGTTCTCCATCTAAAATACATCTTTCTCCGTCTGTCGCTTCAACCGCTATTCTTCCAGCAAAATATGGACCGGTTGACACTTCGATTTCGCTCGCTTGTGGTAAACATTGTGTGGCGCGTGCTGAGACTTAAAAATAAATAAATTAAATAAAACAATACGAATTGAGAATTGTTGCGGTCTGTTTCATTCAAAAATGGAAAGCTAAGCTATTGTTGTAGCCGTGTTTCAATTAAGGTGTTAATTGAGTTTCGATTGGCTTTCCGGAGAGATAGCCTTTCACCGAATTCAAATTAAACGGAACGAATTTATTCAATTAGATGTGGATAGTGAAAGGTGGGGTTATCTTAAAGAATGTTTTTAATAACATTTTTTTGCAAGAAATTTAGGTTAAAGAATTTGCGACTCTACATGGTTATTCTTATACAATATACAGTTATGTATATTACCCTGAAGGCAAACGCACGAGTGAGCTAAAAGCCAGGTTAATGGTAAATTTTTTTTGTGTCCTCGGTTTTATTTAAGCGATTATCCTAGCACGGAGGCCGTGAAAATCCTTGTTTCAAGGTCCACCAAGTGTGTAATGCTTGCATGATCAAGATTCATTTATGCTTAGGGTATACTTACATCCTTTAGTTGGTATAACTATTAAATTTTGATTAACGTCGTCTCCACCTTCGGATCGATCTTCTCTGCCTTCTTTTTTCGTTGGTCTTACTTCGAAAGTGTACGTTGTCGCCATTCTTAATCCGTCAATATCTGTTTCGTACAAAACGATTTTTTCATCTTTCAATACTCTTCCTTCATCTTCACCTATATTCTTTAAACGACATCTCTGTGCTCCCCACGCTTGTAATTCACAATAACGTACTTGAAATCCTTCCGCTGGTGGTTGTTCAAGGTCCCAACGTAAACGTACTTTACGATAATCCGGTTCTCCCATGAGGTTCTTCACTTCTGCGGAGCAATAAAGAGGATATTCAAACTCGGATACTAAAGGTGAACGGTCAAGAGTGCTTGAACCGTTCTAGTTCGATGGACAACGAATGCCGACCGCCCAATAAGGATAATTATAGGTAGTCTGGACATGGAGGGCACTGGGTCGGCTTAATTATGCTATTACATTGGTAAAGCTTTGCCCATCGGCGCACCCGCGTTTAATGGGCGTGTAACAAGAACGTTAGGAAGGAAGTCATTTACGGAGCTAAAAGCGTTTTGTAATTGATGGGGAGCCCATATACAACGAAATGGACCACCAAGAACTGTTAATCTCTCTCTTGTGCTTTCTAAGCGTAGGTCGACGCAATTACAACCGGATCGAGTAGATAATTTGCGAAACCGAGCTTTCTCAACTTATCTTTCTATTACGGAAGTCGTATTCGCGATAAGATAAAAGAAAACGACTTCTTATGCAAGAAACGTAAAGAATATTACCAAGAGGAAGAGGTCGAAGACACCGCACGATTTTCCTACTAAATTTATAGTTACTTCGTTGACCAAGAGTGCGTTTTAATGTGTACATTAAAACGTAATATTTATTCACTTCCTTTGAAAACAACTCAATTCATGGAATGGACAGGCTTTTTGAATCGAGAAAGGTCTATAATTAGATGTTGTTTAATTTTAACGTATTCAAAACATCTTGGTGCGGTCGTGTTTTTGTAAATATTTAAAAATTAACCTAGTTAAAGCTTATAAATCAATCGCGATGTGCAGTACTATTTTATATATTGATGTGTTGGCTGCTTTTTCATAACAAATCGTAAACAAGGTAGTTTCAATTGTAATCGTTCAATTTATGTTAGTTGCGTCGAAAATAGATTGATGTAACATTACTGAATAACAAAAAAGAATAAAACAAATTTAATTTCTCATTAAATTAGTACGATTGCGTTACAAAGAAAATAATTTATCCCATTAATGTGCGAGCGCAATAAGGTCCGTGTTCAACAACCGATTAATTTATCAAATCTGTTATGGAAACGCTAATAAATCATGTTAATAAGCGTATGTTTCTGTTAATCGAGGTGTTAATGATTTTTTTAATAAAAAATAACTTGTCTTAAAATAACTCACTTTGTAGGTACTTCAAAGACAATGATCTCATAAAACGGCAAATATCGCAGTTTTTAGTTTTACGAGGTTATTGCCAGAGGAACTACTATTTTAAGTGCTTTGGCAATCTTGAAACATACTTAATATAGATGTTTATATAAATCATTCTGGCAATACACCAATGTTAATTAAAAATGTAGTTATTAGATTTTAGACAGCTTATAAATAATAACATATTTGTTTAATTAAATAATTATTTCCGAAATTTTTACTTGCCTGTTGATGTGTTTGCGGCAAATGTGCTAAACCACAAGAGCGAAAAGATTGTCGTCATCAGGATCATAGTGGCGGAGGTATTTACACCAACGCGCACCCGAAGAGTCTTCGCGTGTTTCAACACCGTCCGGAGTTCTTCAACAATACTACTTCCAACGACGACTGCGCGAGCACTGATTAACAGTACGAAGTTTGCGAGCCCGATGGCTTACCGTATTGGTAGAAGGGGTCGATGATCTGCATCAGCTGTCGTCATTTTCTTGGCCCATCCAAAAACAGGGACCATTTTGGTAAAACCAGAGAAGAATTTTTTAGTTACAACTTTTTCTATGCATAATAACAGCCAATTTCTATGTCCGGATTCATGTTCTCAACAAATAACAAATGGATTTAATGTATTTGAAAGTTAAATATGGTTTGGAGAAAGTTTATTCTTTATGATAAAGAAATCGTGTATAGAATTTTTTACAATTTCCTTTCTGTACACTTTAATTATATGCTTGTAGTGTTTTTGACTGGTCTAACATGGAATAAGTACAAATAAAAGTGAGCTGGTGTAAATGCTATTAGTGATAAAATATTAACAGTTGTGATAAATCCATTAACTGAAAGTGAGACTTATTACCGATATCTTTGAATACTTAAGTGTTCATCGGCCAATAAAAATTAAATAATCCTTTAAAGATAAATAACATCCATTATATGGTGTATATCATTCATGGGTCACCACATTTCAGGTTTTAAATATGTAACAATTGGTTGATTTATTTATTTCTTACTTAAATTTTAAACATAAACCAGCAGATAAATTTTCTAACAAATGTAGGTTTTAAACATTTACCGGGAGAGAAAATTCTTCACACAATGGATTACAAAGAAACGTATACAACGGTCTTTATAGAAATTATTATGGAGACCTACGTAATTATGTTAATCGTACCATTAGGCGGAGAAAAGCTGCATATTTTAAAGAAGAACATAATTTCAGTTCTTCGCAGAGTAACATAATAAAAAATTTTTATGACTCGAAATGTTACTGATTTTATTTCTCTAACACAGGCTTTGAAAGATTTTGATATATATCCAACAATAAGAAGAAATCGAGGATTTCGAAGCACAACATCGACTAATTGTAAGCCTGAGAACCTAAGAAAATAGAAGGTTCTTTCACTTGAAGTGAAAAATTACTATGGTTATACTTTATAAAGTCGGAATCCATATCCAGATAATATAGGGGCAATGTGGATAGAATAATTATAGAAAACGAAGAACGAGAGTTCTAGATGAGTCAGAATTACCAACGGAATCTGAGAGATCAATTTTGCGATTTCAGCAAACAACAGCAATGCCACCATGATTGCGGTTAGAAAGGAATATGCCCACGCACAGAATTATTGGATGAAAGAGTTAAGTTGAAGGAAAACAAAACCAGAAACGCCTATTCATGCAGGTACCGGTACTACCAAGAAGCTATTATATAATATGTAATTACATATAATAATTATATAAATTATTGTTTAGCTCGTTGAATTATGTCTTCAAACGAGAATGTAATAATAATACTTTGTGGCCGGAATGTTTATGATTTTATTCTAAAAACCATTTCGCCATTTTGGAAAATGTTTAAACTTATATTTCCAACCACATAACATGAAAGATCATGAAAGCCTTCAATAACCTATTAAATTTAAAGATTTGAATTTCGTATTCAAATTGGATTAGGACAATGTGAATATGGTAACCATAAAGAAGGCAAAACGATAGTTTTCGAAGACTATGGATATAATAAATGAATCTAATACAGAAGACGAAATTCATTAATAAACATTACGATTTTTGCAAAAAAACAGTAATGTGTANTAAATTATTGTTTAGCTTGTTGAATTATGTCTTCAAACGAGAACGTAATAATAATACTTTGTGGCCGGAATGTTTCTTATTTTATTCTAAAAACCATTTCGCCATTTTGGAAAATGATCATGAAAGCCTTCAATAACCTATTAAATTTAAAGTTTTGAATTTCGTATTCAAATAGGATTAGGACAATGTGAATATGGTAACCATAAAGAAGGCAAAACGATAGTTTTCGAAGACTATGGATATAATAAATGAATGTAATACAGAAGAAGAAATTCATTAATAAACATCACGATTTTTGCAAAAAAACAGTAATGCGTACTATGGTTATGAACAGAAGGAAATCTTAGCATAAGATGAATGTACTAGTCCACTGAATATATATAGAAGAATCAAGAAGGACTATGCATTGAGTAATTAGGAGTTGAGAAAGTTGACGAAGAGTCATCAGAACCACCTGTTCGTGCAAGCACCAGAACCATTAAGACTCTATGTTACTCTTTATTTTTTCTTTCTATAATCCCAACTTTTTTGTTTCACTTTCTACAAGAGCAACAATTGACTATACGATTCTATAAATTCGGTTATAAACTCCGTCTTGGTTCCGATTATAAGCTAACTGTACTGTATCTGTTAAATGATATATAAATTAATTTTCAATAGCGGTCTAAACTTGCTGCGACAATAAAGCTCTTAAATGGTTTGAATCGTATGTTTTTCATTTATCTACATAAATCCCTAACAATTTAGCGTAATCGGATTCTTTCGATTGAGCAGTTCCAAAAAAGATTTGCTCAGTTTTGTTCAGGTTTAGTTTGAGCTAGATAACCACATGTGCGTTTGTGTGACTACTTCTTTTGATCCCTTATATAGTTTCAGCTTATTGCCTCTGATTATCGATACAGTTGGGAATTCAACAAGGTTCCAATGTTGACTCATGGATGCTCATCATCTAGATAAGCATCACCACGTTAACAGATAACAGAGATTTCCATTCCATGAGATAATACCATTGTTATGGTATTTTTTTTCAAAATTGTGTATGAATGATGCCTCTCAAAAATCTTTGACATCATTGGAGGAATAGATAGAGGTCAACAGTTTTTGTAGTCTTATTGTGTTGAGTACCATGAGTTTTTTTTATCCAAAAACACATTTTTGGGGTACTTGTTGAGTATGATAGCAAGTTCACCGCCACTATTATGCTTCCTACCGATAGCACTAGGCAACTTCTATCGACAATAGTGAATTAGCAAGTGCTGCAAATTACGGTTTTACATCTGTGGTTCGTTACTCTCACGAACTAGTGCAACTACGTGATGAGCAGAACTGCTGGATATACTATCTAACCCTCTATCTGTTGGCAAGTACAATAAATTAAAGAAAAAATTAATACGTCGGCGTCGGTTTAGTGCAATGCATAACGATGATGACGTTCTTTGATATCATCAATCCAGCCATTTAAATCATCATTGATTAATAATGATTTTCTTTATTTGGGTGAACAGACCAAGCGCTAAGGTCATTAACAGGATAGAACACTGTGAGATGGGCACAAAGGCCGCAAAGGTCGCAAAAGAAGACAGAAATGGAGAGATCATATTGAAGTTATAGAAGTAGTGTTGCCGAACACTGCTCAAGACTACCATATGAACTCCCAAGAATAACCAAATCTCCCGGAAGACCTCCTATATAATGATATGAAAGTTGGTGCTCAACTTCCCAGTATAGGCTATGAATAATTAAAAAACAAGACAGATGTGTTAATATAAGATATTCCGTTTTGATCTATAAGTAAACTTTTTTGTATTGAAGACACGTATTTCGCCTTATTTTCATACATTTCGTTTATTAGCAGTTATGGATTTCTCCTTGGTTGACAGATACACTTAATAGCTTACAAAAATGTCGAACTTATTCGATATCTATAAAGCAGGAAAATATTTCGTGCAAACTTTTTGCCAATTTCACCAGTATGATCCTCGAATCTCTAATCGTGATAAATTTACTATCCTGGCAGAGTATAACTCGTCGGTATAGCCTTATTCAAGATGAAATAATGACACCATAGTGGTTTATTCAAACTCAACTCATTGCGAATATAACATTCATTCAAACTAAGAATGAATCTAAGAAAATCTGAAGAATTTTCAAAACTCAGCTGGACATATTCTCTTTCCCTCCACGTCATGATTGTTTAGCAGCTTATATACAGAGTGTAATAAATGTTAATGGATCTTATATTCGTGCAATAGTGGAAAAAACACCTTCTTTACTGCAACGAATTTCGTGATTGACGGAAATGCTTTTACGTGAGGATTGAATAAATAGACGTTCCTTCTTCTTGGCGTTTCAACGAGTTTCATATCCTGTCCATGGTTAACTCAAAACCATCTAAATGCAATAAAACAATTATTTTTTGTTGTAAGTTTAAAGCATTAAGTACAGAAAGTACTCTGGTCACGATGGCATTGACATGCATACATATGTTGATGTAGAACCTTTGATGCTTTATGTAATTTTGGATCAGTACATCTTTGTCAATTTTTATGGGGTGTAGAGAAAATAGATCTTTCTGCAATAAAATTTATTAAAACAACATGTTGCAGTACAATATACCTCCTAAGCTGGTAGCAATGATACTCTCAGGGAGATTTTCTATAAAGTAAGCACACCATCAGATCTATCAAGAACATTTGAAAGCCACGAACGTCTACGACAGGAAGATGGGGTGTCTATGTCATGTTTGCTTTTTAATATTTCCATGGAAAAGGTACTACGAGATGCAGGACTCTGAACATGACATAGATACCTATAGTAGGGAGAACAGAACACGATATGAAGGGTGCCTTAACAAAGTTGCGGATGACAAGATAGAGACGTTAGCTGATCGTATACTTGGAATTCAAAATGAATAATAAAAATTATGTCAGCGAGGAAAGGCTAAAGGTCTTGGGCTGGAAATCATACGAGCAGGCTAACGTTCACAACGAACTGTAAAGCTAAGCATGATGATGTGCATTTGACTTTGTTATGCAAACTTTCGTATGCCAAATGTTTTTTCAATACTCCAGTTGTTGTTGCGACCTTATCACTAGAAACTAATTGTAAATCATTCGTGTGTAATATGTAAAATCAGCTTCATTCTTGTAATTACTTGTATATGTTTGAAGATGTTGCTATGTTGAAGCCCATAACTAAATTTATACTACATTTTTATACTATATCGTTCATTTGATATAACTTTGATTTGACTTCATGATACTTTTTGAAAAGAAATTTTGCAAAAACACAAAATAAAAGATGTTCTCC